GATGTGGATGGCGTCGAGGGGTATTTCGGTTTCATCATAGGTAGCCAAACGGCAACCCCCGATCTCGGGGAAAATGCCGTCTAAACGGGAAAGCATCAAAAAAAGCATTATATAAAATTCTTCAATGTTTTTGAAAAGAAATTTTTACGTATAAAATTTTCGTGATAGACGCCATGAAAAAACTTATTTTGCAATGTTATAAATAAGAGAGTAATAGCAAAAATGATGAATTGTTTTGTAATTTATACTTAAAATTCACGGCAACCGTAAAACTAAGTAAGAATTTTAATTTAATTTTTAAATTAATAATATGCTCATTAAATTTAACCCCTCAAGTTCATTTTTTTTCAAAATAATTACTTTCTGAACGTTAGTTACGCACAACAAAAACTATTGAACAAAAATCTCCGACGATTAAAAATTTCAATTCCACAGCTTGATAGTAAAAGTGTTTATGAGGTTTTTTGTCATCTTATCAGATATATTCCTATATTTTTCTCCAGTCAACAGCAGTATTTTAGTTCAATTATCAATCTATACCGAATGCTATATCATATAAAAATTATTAACTTTGTTTTTTATCATGCAAACCGTGTTTGTGTAGGTGCAGTCGTAATATTAGGAACATGCAGTGTGCAATCATTTCACCATGCAACCAATCAACATAATTTGTCCACTCGTCCTCGAGAATGCGATTAATGGGAAAAATCAGATTGATCCAGATAACTTATCATGCGATTTATAAAACACAGCTGAGAACTTAATGGGTGAGGTACTGGTTTGAAGGGTTGTTCCAAATATTAACAGCTTGCGTTGAAGGCCGGTCTCGTAAAAAGAAATCATTGTATACACACCGAGTGAGGCACGGATACATTCATTACAATAAACATTGCAACCTGGGCACGTAACATACATTAAGGTTACATTGGGACTTGGATATTAAACTATTGATAATGTAAAGCCCACGCACCCTGCTTAGATAGTTCCTGCATTTCCTCCTGATTCTTTGCCAGCTGCTCCATGTCGAGGTCGAAGCCGGGAGGCATGGGCTGGGTGCCGCACGCTGACAGATAACCTAACGTTGGTGATGATGGTGTTGATGACGATGATGACGTTGGTGATGATGATGGTGGCGGTGACGTTGGTGATGATAATGATAAACAATAAATTGTAAATAAAAATAATGTTCAGTCGACCAAGATGATGACGACAAGGCGTGTTGACGATAGTTAAAACCATAGTGCTGGTGTGGTGATGATTGCTGCTTATGACAAACGGTGTTCAAAAAGTAAGTTCTGAATGATTTTTCGCCATAATAATTTTTTCACTGATAATATAATTATTATTATAATGTAATTATAATTATGCGGTTAAAAAAACTGATGAGGTGAAATTTGTAAAGACCCTTCCAATCGATATTTGTGGTTGAACATGATGCTAACATGGGTTTGCAAAAATTCATTCCACAAAGTTTGATAGAGAAGTTTGATGTGCTGCCGCTTTTTTACAAATTTGATTTGGTCCAAGGAAAACGTAAGAAACAAATTTTGATGGAAAAATTAAATGTTAGTTTTAACAAACAAAATTTGTAAAAATATCAAAACGTCTAACTATTTATCTATCCATCCATTCATACATACGTGCATCAGTTCATCCAATCAATTACTTATCCATCCATCCATCAAACCATCCACGTATTTACCCATGTATCAATTCAGCCACCCATCCATCAATTCATCCCTTTAAACATTCCTCCATCCTTCCGCCCACCAACTGACCGGGGGCAGTCTGCTCGGCGTCTCCATAGAGGACTGCCACGTACATGGACGTCTGCAGGTAGCGGAAGAAAATCAGGTTGATCAGCTGTTCATGGAGTTGGTAATGATAATGATGATGATGATAGTGATGATGATGATGACGATGATGATGATGATGATGATGATGATGAAGAGGTGGTGATGAAAAAATTGATATTGACATCCGCTGATAGTCGACCTTTAACGGCACTTTTTAAATTTGACCCCACGCAGCGCGAACAGGCATGCCTGCTGCGTAATAAATTGGGCTTTTAAGCGTGAATAGGTGAGGATTTTAGTGCAGCACTTGAAGCAGAAGCAGGTCGGCAAAGATCGCACTTGGCACTCCTTTGCATTGAAACACAGTGGCAGGGGTGATGGAGGTGGAGATGTAAATTATAAGTTGCTCTGAAGGGTTGATCTGGGTTTTTTTTATTGCTGTTAAACAATCGTTTACCTATTCACTTTTAGATTAAACGCTTCAATCTCCTCAAGAAATTTAAAATAAAAATCTGCAAATTAGAGGTGATGACTATTAATAAGAATTGTTGAAGACAGATTTGTAATAATAATAATAATAATAATAAAATAATAATAATAATAACAAGACCTCGAGGGCCAGAGTGATGTAGTAGGTGGTGGAGAGGAAGTCCATCCAGAAAACGATGTGCTCTGTGAAGTGTTTGTAGCAACCAACCCTGTTGGCCGTCTCGTAGACTGTTCTGTTGGCTGGTTGGTAGGTTAGAAATAATAATAACAACAACAATAATAACAATAATAACAATAATAATAATAACAATAATGATGATAATAATAACAATAACAATAATAATATTTATTGAAAAGAATTAAGTGTGTCTCGCGCGATGACTGACAGCATAATTGGAGAACTAAAATGGGCAACTTATGTGACGAAAAAAGTGCTTACGAAATTTTCGGCAAAAACATTTTATGGATTTTTTTTCAAATTTGAAACAATTAAAGAAATTTTTTAACAAGTTTTTATGACAGCTTTGCTAATTTGTGCTGAATTATTTTACTAAACAATTTATTTATTCGTTTATATACTAGTATGTTTATTCATTCAATCCTTCAATCTATCTATTAATCAATCAACCAATCAATCATTCATTCATTCACTCGTTTCACATTCAAATTCAATAATGCATTTTTTGCATCATAAATAAATAATTTAAATTTCTAACCGGTGTTTTTCTCAATATTCATGAAGTTGCAGGGGTTGATGTTCTTGATGCTGCAACAACTGAAGGGTAGGGACAGACCTCCAACCCCTTGCCTGGAGAGGCCACAGCCAGTGTGGTGTGGTTAGATGTGGTGTGGTGTGGTGCTGTGTGGTCGCAATTTATTTATGAAATCATGCGCAAGTAATAATAGTCCAACACATGCATGCATCAGAGTGAATCAATTTAAATAAATTTTTAATGTCTGCTAACGCACCAACATCATTTTTTTAAAAATGTTCATTTGGTGTGTTCACTGGAATTCACGCAAAAAATATTATAAGCAAACATTTCCATGACAAGAAATAAATGTTGTGAAAGTTGAAAATGCAAAACTTTTTTGAGGCCCTCTGTTCTTTGAGACTTCTTGGGATGAAGGAGTCCTTGACCCAGGGGGTGGAGTACCAATCCTGCGGTCCCTCTGAGCCACAACATCGGTACTCGAACTGAATCCGGTCTATCAACACCTTCGCTTTTTCCTCTTTCGAATAATCGGCCATCAGTTTGCGGAAGCCTGTTATGAGGTCCTGTAATGTTGAATGTGGTCGATGGCAGGATTAAAATTTCTCGTCGAGAGCCGGACCCAACGTTCGTTTCAAAAGCCAACAACAAAACCAACATCGAATAAATCTATCCACAATTTAAATGAGATGCAGCATTAATGACATCACTTTAAGCCGGGAAAAATTTAGTTGCAAATTAAGCAAGTAAGATTTGCGCAAAGCTCTACCTCATTCTTTCAAAAAAAAAATGACGACGACCATGATGATGGCGGTGATGGCTACGATGGTGACGACAAAGAGGACAATGGTGATGATGATGATGATGATGACAAAAAAAAGATTAACCAAACAAAATAAATATAACAACTGACAAATTATTTATGTTAACTTGTACCTTATTCAACAGCATTTATAATTAAATAATTAACAGCAAGCGGGTGGGTTGCAGAGGAGATATGGCAAGGTGCAAATAAATTAATTTTCACAATAATTTAATTGCTCCTACGCAAACATTTTTATTTTATTTTTCCATATTATACGCTACAGTACACCAACAAACACTTCACCATACCATCCATCCATCCATCCATTCATCCTTCCATCCATCCTTCTATTCTTCCATCCATCCATCCATTTATCCATCCATCCATCCATCCATCCTTCCATCCATCCATCCATCCATCCATCCATCCACCCACCCATCCATCCATTCATTTATCAATCTATCATCTACGCTCCATCACTCACTGTCTCATTTTTGCTGTCAGAAATTTGTTTCAAAATCACTCCAAAGAAGCTTTCGACATTAGCAGTCACGCACTTCCATGCAAGACAGGCAGACATTTTGCACGTTTCAAGTGCTTGCATGCCATGTACACAGACACAAAAAGATGAGATAGAATATGACTAATTCAGAACGGACTCACGTTTCGTTCATCACATACATCTATCTGCTGCTGTCTGCTGCTCATTACTTCAGTTTAAATTCAGTTAATGACATTTTAAGAGTTTGTTTGTAATTTTTCATTTTCAATGCCAACAAATGTTTGATTAATTTTTGAAACCTGTCCATTAAAAGAAACTTAACAGAAAGAAATTTAAATTAAATTTAAAGATGAAATACTTGAAAAATTTCATCAAAATATTTTCTCAGTATTGAATGCCTTTTATGGGATGATCAAAATTCTTAAGGCAGATGTCGTTAACAAACAACTTTCAAAAGAAGCAGCTGAATTTGTTGTTATATTGATGTTGGTTTTTTTGTTGTTATTGCTGTTGCAGTAGTTTTTCTTATTTTTGGTTTTGTTTTTGGCGTCTTGGTTTGGAAGCTTCGCTAAAACATCAGTTAGACAATCGGGACTGTCTCCGTGTTTATATCTCCGTTATAAGTGCATTGTATTTGTAAGTAATTAGACACGTGTGTGCGTGTGTGTGGGGGTGTTGTGTGTGGACGAATGTGTGTGTGGGTGTGTGTGTGGGTGTGGATGAATGTGTGTGTTTGGGTGAGTGTGTGTGTGTGTGTTTGCGTTGATATTTCGGTTTTGACTGTTAAGTGGTCGACGTCCCCTTCCTAATTGATGGATCAGCTTCTTCTTGACAGATTAATTTGCCATTTTCATTTGGCCAGATAATTACTATATATATATATATAATGTTTTCTTATTAAAAAAAATGTATTTTTTAATTTTTTTTACATAGTTCTTTTTGCCCAATGGAGGCTTTCGTGTTTACTTACAACATTGAATAAAATGCATGTCTGTTATCGAAACTCATTTCGAAATATAAACATCTCTTGGAGTTTTTTCTCAAACATCTGCAGATCAATCATCTCTAAATATTTGAAACTTGGACTTGAGTCAATCAAGATGGAATCAATTTTCCAGGCAGGCGTGTTTGCCTCAATTGATGGATTAGCTAACAATTCCTTATTCATTTGATCAAACATCAAATTTCATTCAACAGATTTTCTTATCTCACAGTATGTTCATTCATTCATTTTGTCTCGTTCAATCCATCCATTCACATCTGCATTGTTAATTCAATCATTCAACATCTGTGTGTGGGTACGTTGTAAACTGGTACGTTGTATGCTGGTACGTTGTATGCTGGTACGTTGTATGTCGATGGTTTGTATGTGGGTACGTTGTATTCGGACATGGTGTGCAATGTTAAACGTATGTATGTTGTATTTGATGCGTTACGGTACATTGTATTATGTATTTTGGTACTTTGTTAGATGAAACAACCTCTGACTGGTCGATCCCTTAGATAACCTAAAAGCTTTCTTATGTTCAAATTTATTCACATTGAGTAATGAAAAAGTAAAAACTAACTTATGAACGCGAAAATGAGAAATGATGAAAATTAAAAGAAACCAAGAAGTTTAATGAAAATATAAATAACCGTTTGAAGGGTCAACTTGTAACTTTTGACCATGGCGCCGGCAACTAGGATGACGATGAGGAAGTAGATGACGAAGAAGACGACGAAGAATGTGATGGTTTGGAAGCAGAGTTGGCCCCTGTAGAACATCCTCCAATCCGTCACGGACAGACATATCTGACGACCGCAACCGGGTTGATTTCATTGGAAATTAATTATAATTTATTTTATCTTAATTCAATCTTACTTGCTAATGAACAAACTCTGAGAGAATGTAGATGTTCGTTTTAAAACACGTCAACACAAAATTTTGCTCTCCCATTAGAAATCGTTAAAAAAATAAATAAAATTAAATTAAAACTTAGATTTTAATAAAATACTCTGATGAAAAAGATTGAAAGAAGCAGATGATTACTGACGACAAATATGAAGAAATGGATGGTGGTGTAGATAACTCCCACACTGAACATCAGCCACACGATCTTCCAGTTTACAAAATCCAAACCAGCAAGTCGAAAAGCGAGGAATCTTCATGAACAGATTTCAAGAAAAAAATCTTTTATTTAAGTCAATTTTTTATTCTATTTATTTAATTTAAATATTTATTTTGTGTCAAGTCATTCATAAACGCAAGATGTGTGCAGGTTTGTTTGATAACATTTTTGTAAAGGTTATTGTCCATCATTTTACCATTCAAAGTTAATTTTTGTTAAATTTACGTTTCGGTCATTATCGCGTTGGTTCAGCCTATCCTATAGTTACGAAATCGCCAAATAAAACTTTTCTGTCAATGAACACAAACTAGAGACATGAACACGAACATGAAAACAAAGATGAACCAGGAACATAAAAATGAACATGAACACAAAAATGAACGCAAACACCATTATGGGACGAACGCGAAAATGAACCAGATGAACATGAATCAAGAACATTTTCACGTACGTAAACCTAAGCACAATATGAACACGAATACAAAAGTAAACAAGTAACATAAAAACAAGCGTGAACGCAAGCTAAAAACATTAACACGATTAACCACAAACCATTGATAAAAACGTGAACACAAAAATGAACGTGAAGATAAACACTAACACTAACATGAACACTAACTAAAAACACGAACACGACGAGCATAAAGGTGAACGAGACTGTTTACAAACTTGTAGAAAATAAGCGCAACAGTTGAGAGAGATCCAATGCCAATGCCCATGAAGAAGCATTGGCAGATCATTAGTATGATGGCGAAGTTCACTCGAGTTTTGCTGTCCCAAATACATAAACTGCACTCACCAAATGCCATCTCATAAAATGATTGTTTTTGTTGTTGTTGATGTTGTTGCTGTTGTTGTTGCCGATGTGGTTGTCGTCGTTGTTGCTGCTGTTATTATTGGTCGATATATTTATGGCAATGTTTTTGTCAATGATTTTTCTCTTGCTGATTAAATTGATGGTGATTCCATTGTTCCATTGTTTAAGATGATGTTATTATCAGAGACGTCACGGCCGTTTTTGTTGTTGTTTGTCTGTGGTGTTGTTTCAAATGTTCTGAGGGCTGTTGAGTGAGGAATGTAGTTGTTGCTGTTGTTGTTGTTGTTGTTGCTGTTGTTGGTGGCGGTGGTGGTGGCGGTGGTGGTGGCGTTTAGTGTTTCTTGTTTTTCAATTTGAGTCGTTGCTATTAAAGATCTTAATTATGTTCATAGATTGGCAGGCATGTGAGCAAGTTTTTGACAAATGGACATTTGACACGCTCGCCATTTCACATTTAAATTTGGTGTCATCATCACTCAGCAACCTACCGTAGAACAATTTACACTTGCCAATGCTATTTTATGTTTTCCGAGTCCAATTCCAATTTCACATAATTTTTTAAAGTTGAAAATTGAATGACACTGTTTAAAAAACGCAAATGAGTAATAAAAATTTATTGAAAATAGTTTTTCTTAGCAAAATAAAATGAAGTTTCAGCATCAATAACAATAAAATAAAAAAACAAACAAACAAATAAAAAAAACAATGACGTCAGAAAGATTTTTTTCTGAAGTATTTTGTTTATTATTATTACTATTATTATTTGATTTTTATTCTGTATATATGATTCGGTATTATTATTAATTTTGTTTGGTCTGATTCCTTTTGCAATAGTCTAATCAACTCGATGGTAAACCTCATCATGACGTCATCGTATGCAATTTACTGTGACAGAAACTTAATCAATCTTCTAAGCATTCTTTTGAGTTGCACCGCTCTATCACAAAACTAAGACAACAATTACAACAACAATATTATTATTAACAGGTAGATGCGATCAAACTAAACTATTAATAAAAATTAATAAAATACGGATTAATAAAAAATTCGTAATTACAACAAAATGAAAAAGAAAAATATGTAAAATATAACACAATCCCAATGAATGTTACTGAATGATATTGAACGATATGGAATGGTACTGAATGGTACTGAATGATATAGAATGATACTGAGTGATACAGAATGATACAGAATGATACAGAATGGCACTGAATGTTACTGAGTGTTATTGCCCATGGAAGTTCTGGCTGAGGAAGCCATCCAGCTTTTCTCCTTGCTCCAGCCAGTACTTGTCATCTTCGGAGAGATCGTATTGTCGAAAGTCTGGCGCCTCTTCCGCTGTTTCATGTTGGTGTTTGTTGTTGTTTTTGTTGTTGTTGTTTTGACAGTGTTGTTGTAGTTATGCGTCGTTTATATTGTTTTTATGATCCTGTTGTTGTTGTTGATGATGATGTTGTCATGCAGAAGTACAACCAACTAACAGTTCAACATCCCGACACTGACCACGTACACACGTTAAATACAAATCAAAAAGTTCACTAGTTTGTGCGAGTTGTTCCAGTTGGGCCTGCCTGGCTTGGAGGGCTTCAGGCGACATCATGAAGCCCGACGGAACGAGCACTTGATTCCACAAACATATGTAACCTGCAAATTTGCCAGTTTAATTAAATCTACCTATGTTTGATTATTATATTATATTTTATTACAAGCATCAATCAATAATACATTACACGCAAACTTTTACAAATCTAGTTATTAAGCTAATTTGTCAATTTTTAACTGGCATTGTTTTTATTTATTTATTATTTATATTTTGAAATTATTCACTAATTATTATTCAAACCTTGTGCTGTTAAAGTGGGGTCACCAAACTTCAAGGCCATGTTAACCGACGTTTGCAAATACCGGAACAAAACAAGCACGCACGACTAATTTTAGGTGATGGAAATTTTCAAAAAAAGTTAAAAAATATTTTGAACTAAAAATTGATAAAACCCTATAGGATACATGTAGCATTGTTCCATTTTGATTTTAGAAACTATCTCACGAGCATATGTAACCAAACCTCTCACTGACAAATTACAATGTATTCACACATCTCATCAACTTTCTGCGCAAACAGCGCTGAAAATGCCGCAAAAACACATTTTACAGATTGTCCCTTTCAGGAGGCTACTAACCTGCTCAATTTGGAACGGTTAGTAATTATGTTTCAGTATTTTCATCAGTGTCACAAGCTGCAGAGGTATATAAATATTTGTGGCATCTATTCGTGTAACTTCGGCTCTACCGACCCGAAACAAACGCATTAAGACCAACCTCAAACAACGCTGCATAGACGAATCCATGCCGTACGATGAACATCCACACAGCTCCCAAACTTTCAGCAATGGCATGGCCACAGCCTACTTTGAATATCGTGAGGTCCGTATTGTGCTTGTAGTTGTAGTGGAGGCTGTCGTTGACTACGTTGCTGAAGATGCAGGGTCGTTGTATGTACGGGTCACAACAACTGAATGGAGTTGAAAACACCAGCACCTTGCCTGCTTCCGTGTTTCTGTACAATTAGCGTCGTTGTTGTTTTTGCTTGCTTGCTCTTGAGTTTTGATGTTGATGCCTAATGTTCTTGAATGTTAAGATTTACAGTTTGTAAATAAACGTTTTGTTGAGTAGCGTAATTCAATGTCACCGTTAAACATCAAAACAATGCGATATGTTACAATAGCGATTTATTAAAGACAAATAAAAATCTTTAATTTTGAACTTTCTTTCAGAACTACCATTGATTGCTGGTTTTTCAAATTCATTGATGCAGCTGTATTATATCGTTTGTCATTCACTAAAATTAAAATTTATCACCACAAATCCTCCAATAGTTAATTTTGATAAAATAAAGAAGTTGCATTTTTATTAACCATTCAGAAAACGTATATAGAACCCCAAAAAATAATTAATGATAATTAATGTTAATGAACTCGAAAAATATTATAATTTATGAAAACTCTACAAAACAAACTCCAGTGCCTCGGCCGTCTTCGGATTGTCATAAAAATGTTCGGCCAGGACCCAGCGCTCCTTGAACCAGTCGGTGTAGCCGCTGGCCCCGCAACATCTGTACGTCAACTGGATGAGGTTCAGCGAGTCCCGCTTGTCATCGTTCACATAGTACAAGGTCATTGCTTCTTTGAAACCGTCCGTGTATAACTTGCAGTTGGAAAATGACGACGACGACGATGATGATGATCGTCAGGATGACGATGGTGGTGTTGGTGATGATGATGTTTATAGATTGTAGTACAAAATATGATAATGATGAGGATGATAATGATAATTGTTCTAATGTTAGGGTCTTTGGGTTGTGATTGTCATTTCAAAGGTCAAATCTAAATAGTGGTTTTTTGTATGTGAGTTATATTTTTAATTAACTGTATTCAAACAATTCAATTCTTTCAGTTCGTATGTTAAAATATTCGAAATAATAAAACAAGTTACAATTTACAAGTAACGAGAAACAATTAATTTTAATTACAAGAATTTAAAAATTATGAAAAATATTTTCTTCCAACCGTCAAACAAACGAACAACAAACAAACGAACAAACAAACGAACAAACAAACGAGCGAACAAACAAACAAACAACAAACGAACAAACAAACACCTCGGTGAGATCGGAAATGAACTGAGCGTAGATAAACAGACCCAGCAGTGCCAGCACGTACATGAACATCAAGGTCACGTACACTGTGCCAAAAGTCTGACACACGTTCCTGTTACGGTACAGCCTGCGCCAGTCCATTGTGGCAGACAACAACTTGTGGGGGAAGAATAATAACACGTTCTCATTTTAAATTACCTTACCATTGTTTATTGTCATTGGAGCAACAACCATTTAATTTCGTTTCGATATGTTATTGAAAACGAAACGATCCAACTATCAACTGCATAGATTTGTTTTTAGTATATATACATGTATTAATGTATTTGCTTTCAGAAATTATCGAATTCGAAAGTTTTTTTTTAAATACGCATTTAAAAGACAATCATCTAACAGTCTAGCATTAAAACGAAATGAGATTCATTTCATGGTGTATTACTTTTAAATGCTCACAGGATAAGAAATTATAACAGTGTCGTAGCCTGCAGTGGGGCTCGGGTTAAATTTTTAGAAAAAGTTAGCAACATTTTTCGTTTGTTATACTTTTTTTTAATGATTTACATGACGAAATATGTATCTTTTATTTCAATTTGGCATAATAATGCCGTTGTTAACGGGTTGCAACAATTTTAAACTAAAATTCATAGGATAAACATGGAATTTTTGTTAAATTTAGTCTTCCTAACTTTAACAAAACTATCTGATGAAAGGGGGGTTTCAGCCCCAAAGCACCCCTAAGAAATAAACAAAATAGTTTGTTAACATTCAAGAAGAATAAAACATATAACACGTTTACCTGGAAAGATATTATGTGCATGAAGCCCATAACAAATCCATTGTAGAAGAGAAACTCGGGCATGGTCTCCATGAGGGTTTCAAAGACCAGGCCCTCCATCTCGACGTTGGTGACCTTCAGGTAGTAGCCGATGACCGATGACGTAACGCCAAAGACGACGCCAACCATCTGAAGGATCATCAACACCGCCGATAAGTTCCTTCGAGTTGCCTCCGACAGGTACGTTATGAACACGTCACAGATACACATTGGTCTAATTTAAAGTGGAATTGCAAACGTCCAGGGATCAACAAAGTTTAAAAATTTTAAATCATTATTTTCTTGGTATTTACATTTTTTCTCTCCCTCTCTTTTCTTCTCTCTTACTATCTTCCTCTCTCTTTATTTTGATACCATTCCAGACTCCATTCAGCCCTCGCACGAGAAAGAAAATTGGAGAAACACGGAAGTATTCACGTTTATTAAATCTTCATCATTTTCTAATTTCTTATCACCTTAACTCATTGTTTAAGACTTACCAATAACAAAGGTCAAAACCCTGATGTGGTGTGACGATGACCTGGTGGGGGCACATAGGGCGGGCCTCGTAGTCGAAACGTTGGCCATTAAAATATTTCAGTCTTAACTTTCGGATATTTAATATTGGACTGAAACTACACAAATAAATTTTTGTAAACTAAAAAACTTGAAGAAAAACAAAAATAATAATATTATTTAAATCCATTTTAATCAAATCTGTATACAAAAAATTTATTAACGCATTTCACCAATGTTATATTAAAGTATTTTTGATCCGATTTTTAAAATTCATAAAGTGCTAACTAAAATTAATCAGCATTTTGTAGCAACTGACCTCGGCAAAAATCATAAATGTGAATGAAGGACAACACCTTATATAATGGGCAAAAGATAAAAAGCGATCTGTAAGAGTGAAAAATGTGGTAGAGGTTTTGGTGAAATTGTGGCAATTAAATAGTTTTGATAGATTAAAACCTGATAGATCTATCAAGGGTCACAATGGGCCACTATAATGAAACAGCGGGGAAAAGCATGCGAAATAGTTTGCTACTCTGGGTTGGATATGTAGACATACATACGCCTGTACACTTAATGTTCTAAGAGTTTGTCATTCAAATACATAAACTAATTAATGAATAAATGTTTGTAATAAGTAATTGTTTACGTTGATCAAGAGTTATTTACACGTTACGTATTCATTAAATACACAAAAGATCAAAAAGTTTGTTGATTGCTAATTTTTAAGTTCATGACCATACATGGTGGTTATTTGGAGAGCTAGAAATTTGAACACATCTAAGAGTTAAAGATTACTGTAGAATGAATCGTTATTTCATTCAGTAAACTGCAATTAACAATGATTTAAATGTTACATTATTTAATAACAAATTAGGACCATATTACAGAAAATAGTGGCAGACTTTGAATAGAACAAAGCAATACCTAACGCAAATCTATTGTTGGAAAAAAATATGGTTACCAGATAACTAAGAACTTTTAATTTTTAATACATTTTAAATTATTTGTTGTGTTAAAAACGAAAAAATATGTCGAAAATTATCAGATGCTAAAAATAAATGGAATAAGACGCAAGATGCAAACAAAGAGTACGTAATTATTGTTATTATTTTTAAAAAACCTTTATTATCTTATGTCATATAACAAAAAATGAACATAATAATAGTTATTTTAGCTACTACTACTAATAATAATAATTTTTATTAATATTGCTCATTATCGATTATGTAGAAATAAATATAGACGATGTTGTTGAAGAATTTGTTACTCAGTCTTTCATGGGAGTGTTGGTTTTTGAGATGTTGGATGAGTTGAAGATGTGACAATGGAAAAAGTGGCGACCAAAATTTTGTCGCGTCAGCATAAAAATTTTTTTGAAGTTGACGTGATTGATGTGAATCAGAAAGTGATTGGATAGGTTGTTGTTGTTGATGATGATGTTTTGGTTGTTGTTGCTGCTGTTGTTGTGGTGGATGTTGAGTTGATGATATTTTTGTGAACTGTTAGTTTTGGTTGCTGTTATTTTTAACACAGCAGTTTTTCATGGAGCTGCATAACATTTTGACAAAACCGACGAATATTATCGTCCACTTTTAAATTATTATTGTTAGTCTCATTACTTCCCAACAATATATTCAATCCAGCCAACTTTTGTTTTGATTTGGGTGCGATTTCATCATCTTCGTAATCTCTTCTACTGCGCATCTTTGCCACTGACAGCCGAGCAATTTGTAACATTAAAGTTAGGACACCGATATTAACCGATTTATTCCTGATGGATGTTGGTTCGGTTGATGCTGGAAATGGCATCGTCATAATTTTCGACGAGTCTGACTGTCTGGATGGCAGCAATGTGGTTGACGAAGACAATGGCATTGGTGCTGAAAATGGAAGTAAAAGTGAATATTTATGACTATGTTCTCTTTCTTTGTTTCTCCTGCGAGGTTTGATATAACTGGTCAATTTTTTAGTCCACCCTTTTTTAAGATCTTTAAGCGAATGCGGAGAACTGGGATCAGTAAAAAGGGACATCGTTGTTGATGTCATTGATGATGTCATCGATGATGTCATTGATGATGTGTTGTTGTTATCTCGAGAAACAATGTTGCTTGAATTTACATTTTTCAGTTTAGCTTGATATGCAGCAATGCCTCCTTCTATGTTCTCCCTTTCCATATCTGCTAACTTAGTTTCAGCCGCAGAATCCAGATCAACCGCTAGTTATAAATGCAAACAAGATCAAATTGAGTGTTATCAAAAACGTTTTTGATATTGTTTAAATATTCATTCGTTGTCTTTCTCATCAAATGCCAGATCAGTTAAAAATTTTGAATGATATGTTAATGCTTGTTGAATTAGAGTAGAAATCAGAAAACATGTAACAAAATTGTTTGACTTAACAGATACAAAAAGCAATAATTAACTAAAACCCAAAATTTTTTATTTCAAAATTAAAACCCACTCGAGTATGCTAAATCTTTGAGTAATTCCTTCTTTTTTTTTATCATGGCAGGGTCGGCAAGAGCCGATGGAGGTTGAGGGGGCATGCCAAAAACGATGATGTACCCGGCAGCTGACTGAGTGGGATCAGCGTAGTCGATTGCCAGAGCCAAAGAAGTTTGAACGAGACGAGACAAAACGATGCCGACAGCCTAAAGGATCAAAAAATTGTTAGGATTGGATAAACCAGTGTTCCCAAGTTTCTTAAGAGTTGACTTCCATAAAACGAACTAAATATCATCATGGCTTCTCCACCTTTTGCGTTTTTTTATTTTTATAAAAATCAGACTCTTACAGACCAATAATTATAAAAAACTTGGATTGGTTTCCCACAAAACCCTTCCTGTAGGTCGGCCCGACAAGTCGAAAACACCTGAGATATACTAACATGCTCTACAGCGAGTTTTAAAAATTGTTGAAAATTTGTAATAACCACATAACATCATCGGAAATTGAATTAGTAAACGTTAATTTACAAATTTTTCAAGTTTTGAAGTGACCTGAACGATCCTTGAGTATAGCAAGACGTATGCCAACATCAATATCCAATAACATATGCTTTCGGTCATTCCGCTACCGCAACCTGTTCATTTATGATGCAGTAAATTAAACTGCCAAGTTGAATTTTATTTGACTATGAAAAAATTATCAACTTTCAGATCAGTCTCTCAATGAATATGAATTCCTTAAACTTGAATTCAATTATATATATATATAGGTATATATATATATATAGGTACATATATAAGTACTTGAAACTAGAATTCAATTATATATATATATATATACATATATATATATGTATATGTATGTATATATATATATATATATATATATATATATATATATATAGGTACATATATAGGTACTTGAAACTAGAATTCAATTATATATATATATAGGTATATATATATATAGGTACATATATAAGTACTTGAAACTAGAATTCAATTATATATATATATATATACATATATATATATATATATATATATATATATATATATAGGTACATATATAGGTACTTGAAACTAGAATTCAATTATATATATATATACATATATATATATATACATATATGTAGATATATATATATATATATATATATATATATATATTTTACAATATTCTATAAATTCTACCGAATGTTTGGCGTTAATATGTTTGTTTCGGTGCATTCACTTTGTCCATTGTATTTGTAGAATATTGTAAAAATTATGGTCTATTACCAACATATATATATATATATATATATATATATATATATATATATATACCTTATGGGTTTTGTGCATGTATGTATGTGAGTATGTGTGAGTGATAGAATGCCTGTATTGTATGAATGGATCCATGTGTAATTTCTTTTGACTTTAATATTCTATCTGATAATATTTGTATTTACTGGATTTAAATGATGTTAATTATATGTACTTATAGAATTTTTGTTATCTTTATTGGTTATCTGTGTTTAATAGTCTTATAGAGGTAATTATGCTTTGATTATTTTACATTAAATATTATGAAAAACAATGGAAGTATATACTCCCCATGTACCTTTTATGTCGAACTAAATTAATCTTTGATTTATGTTGATTAATGTTGATTTTATTTGGATAGGGTGACTTTCCTACAAGCAATTGGTTGCTTTTTAGTTTACCCCTATTTTTTGAGAAAATGAAGTAAATAAATATATATATATATATATATATATATATATATATATATATATATATAAAGAAATAATGCAAATTAATTGATATAGTTAATTGTTGACCTTTCTCGTACAAAGAAAGATCAGTTTTGGGGTCGTAGTTGTAGCCACTGTCCGGCTCCTCAACAAACCAGGTGATGCACGGCCTCATCCTTTTAACGTTGCAGCAACTGAAAGGGGCCACACCTAACACAAAATTCTCCATAACGTACCTGGAGTGACGTGCAGCGATGTGGTGTACAGTTAGGTGGAGTGAAGTGGATGAGAAATGGAGTAAGAGGATATAAATGTTAGATGGAGTTGAAGCGAGACGGTTATTTTTTTATATATCTTTTCAAGTCAGGCCAGCAGGTTAACATCGCGTTACATGTGGCTGTACATTAAATGTGCATTTATGTATTAAAACATGGTAGACAAAGAAATATTATCAATCAATCAAGCAAGCAAGCAAGCAAGCAATCAGTTAAGCAAGCAATCAAGCAATCAATCAACCAAACAAACTAACAAACAATCACCAATTCTTTCAACTCCTTCGGCAACAAATTTTTATTGCATAAGAAATAGCATGGGCAGTAAATGCTATACTATAACGTTAATATTCCAATTATTTAAATGGAGAAAATTAAATAAAATAAGGAATTATACATGTTAACGAGTAGAACATATGCTAACATTAAACACTATATATAAAGCACTTCATTCACCACAATAATAATAACACATCAAAATATAACATTACATTAACATGTCCCATCATGTTGTGACCAAAACAAGAATCGTCTTGACATGCTGAACAGCGTTAACATCAAATTTTCCTAACTTAGCTTTCATGGACTGGTCGAATTCATAGTAGGAGTACCTGAGAAGGTACCAGCGGGTGGTCAGCCAGTCCTTGTAATTGGCCCCCCCACAACAGCGATAGTGGTACTGCATTTCATCGATGGTCGCCTTGTGGTCAGCGTTGCTGTGGTAAGTTCTCAGGCGCTCCGCTATCCCCTTTTCAAAGTTCTAAAAATAAAATTGTTAATTTTTATAAGGCCGAGGAAGTCAGCGATAGATATTTGCTGACGTTATGGGAGAGTGTACGAGTTTTCTCTTCAATAGAAAGCTCGGTTCAAACAATATGATTAATATTCATAAATTTAAACAGACGGTCGGATAAAGAAGAGCATTTTTAAAATGACAAGCAGGGTCGGGCGGATAAAAGCTCCTGGCCTAGTAATGAATGTTACCGACCAAACATTATTTTATAAACATTGATTAATTAAAACTAATTAATGCACTTTAACAAGAAAAGGGGGGAGATCGAGGAACATGCTACCAAAATATGTTACTGTTATGAACGAAATCAACTGCAGAATGATCTTTAAAAGTGGAGCAAGAAGGAAAAACTCTTGGTCTTTGTAGACTGCACGCCAATCCGTTACGGCCAGATCCACCTAGCAGTATTTTTCAAATGGGATTAACATATTGATGAGGGAATAAAAATATATTGTATTGTATTGTAAATATATTGAGAAACTGAGTATGAATATGAGTGCGCTAACGTAAGCAGAGCCAGCATTTATAAAGAAGACAGAGACGGCAAGAACTATGACAACATTCGGCAGATGATCAGACATCTTTTTGCTCTTCATGATGCCATAGTTCTTATAGATCATCCTCAACATGAGGCCGACAACCAACGTCATCGTACATACGCCCATCTCAACCAACCATAAAAAGAAGGTAATAAAGGAAATGTATTTTCTATGCTGGTTCGAAAGCAGAAACAATGCATACACCATTGTCTCCTGATCAAGTCTTGTTGTTGATGTTGATCAAGTGTTGCTGTTGTTAGTGTTGTTGTTGTTGATAGTGTTGATGTTGTTAGTGTTGTTGTTGATAGTGTTGATGTTGTTAGTGTTGTTGTTGTTGATAGTGTTGATGTTGTTAGTGTTGTTGTTGTTAGTGTTGTTGTTGTTGATGTTGTTAGTGTTTTTGTTGATGTTGTTAGTGTAGTCTTAATCTTAGAATAGGTAATGTGTTAATGCTGAAAACGAGAATGAAGTCAAACGTTTACGATGGTACTTTGAGAGTAGGAAGTGTGATGATGAGGACAGCGATGATTAAAATGATGATATTTTGTTAACGTTGATGACAAGGATGCATAAGCCTCCAATTAGAATAATATTTCTAAAACTTAAAGCCAAATGATATGAAATAGTTTACAGTAGAGTTCCGTTGTAGAGTAATATTCCAATGACTTTCAAATTCGCTACCGCAAGATTTATTTATAATAAAATTGCGAGCCTATCATCATAATGTGATAATTTTTTAATCAAAAGTTCAAATGATGATCATTGATACCATCACAATTCACCGACACTTCAGGTGCACAGAACCCAATCAGCCGTTGCAATAAAGTAGACAGCATCTGTCCTAACATTCAAACAGCGCTAATGTTAATATTTGAGTATTTCTTCACGAAAGGGTTTGTTGGTTAAATACTTATTGAATAATAAACTTTATTAATTGAATATTCACACAAACTTCTCCTAAACTCAAAACATAAACATTGACATCACAAAACACCGAAGAGATAAACAAAAGAATGTAAATAGATATTTTGTTTTTGGCAGTTTCTAGAAAAAAAATTTCATTGTTGATATAATTTGTCCAAATTCGTCATTCATAATTCTTGTAATTTAGGTAAAATTATTTTTGGCAATTTGGATGAAAGGCGAATGAACAAATTTTCAAGTTTTATTCAAAATGTAGAACTAAATTTAGATCGACATTTTGTAACAATTAAAAGCAAACATTGTCAAATAAGAACGATTATAAAGAAACTCTTGTACATTGAAATCCACTGTGAAGAATTATAATTTCAAAAACTTTTGTTGAAGTGAAATTCATTCCTTGTTTATAATCATATATATATATATTTATTTTTTAAAATACTGATTTGTAATAAAAACAAATTTTAAATAAATAAATAAAGCGCCACAAAATGAATGAAAATCAACAAGAAGTTTCTCTGAAGATGGACATAGTGACTGGGATAAGAGGTGCTGGATGTTTGCTTGGCTGCTGTGGCTGATGATCAATCTGGAGTTTGTGTTGAATGTGGATCCTACTATTTTTGTAATTGTCGATATGGTTGTTAATATGGTTGTTGTTGTTGTTGTTGTTGAGTTGGTTGATGTTGTCGAGTTGGTTGTTATTGTTGATGTTAATGAGTCGGTTGTTGGATTTGTTGAAACGTTCATATGTGATGTTGTCGCCATTAAAAATATTCAAGCTTCCGGGAGTTTGTTGAGAAGCATTTTCAGGGAGAAGTTGAAGTTGCTGATTTTTTTGCGGATAACACTGCGGCTGTTGGCGGTGGTGATGACAATGTTGACGTTGGTTATCACAAAAGTAGTGGTGGTGATTCTCTAATTGTTGTTGATGCTTTCTCAGTTGTTGCAACAAACGTAGCTTATTAAATGGTTTAGTTTTTCTACGTTGAAGGAAAATGTAGTTGCGAGGTAGTGAATGGTGGCTGACGCACGATGATCTAGTAGTAGATGTCGATGATGATGTTGTTGTTGGTGTTGTTGACGTTGGTGTTGTTGCAGCTGTTGCAGCGAATGATAGTGTAGTTATTGTGGTTATTGAAGGCGTTGTTGTTAACGACCGTTCCGCTAATAGTGAAGGTTCGCATACAGTTTTAGATTTTGATGTTGAAAACGTGGAGAAAATTTTGCGATTATGGTCAACTGCTCTCGGTGCTACTTTTGGCGTCAAACAATGGAAAGAATTTAATCCTCGTAAATTATTATTATTTGTAAAGTTTTTTTCATTGGAAGTACATAGCCTGTGGTTCTCACCATCTGCCAACCGATTGACCACCAAGACGTCTTCACTGCCAATGTGGTCGTGTTCATTTGGTTGCTGCTGCTCCTTAAATTTAAAATTAGTGTTTGAATGATTCTGGAAAATTATGTGTTGTTGTTGTTGTTGTATGTTTTGGCTGACTGTAGGCAAAAATGTTTTTGTTGAGCAATTTTTTATGTTTTGTTGATATAGTTGTTGGTCGTTGTTGAAATGATGCTGTTTGTATGAAGTTGTACGGTAACTTCTCTCATTCAAACAGTTCAAGTTTGTATTCATCTGGAAGAAATTCACCGGTCGGTCAAGAAATGCGGACGAACAGAGCGATGGTAAGACCTCATAATTAAAATCAAAAAAATTTTCTCCATAATCGTTCAAGTTTTTCAAATTGTTAAACATTTGGTTGTTAGCACCACATTTAGCTGTAACTTCACATTTTTGGGTTATTCTTGTTTTATGATTCCCATAATTTTCATCTCTGCCATTATCAAAAATTAATTTTATTGACCCATCAGTTTCCTCTTCAACATTTCCATTTGCGGGAGTGTTGTGTAGAAAGGCCTCCCTGTCGTGAATACCTCTCAAATTTTTAAGTTTATTCGAATGAGTTAAACAAGAATTGTTTTTCTCAATTTCACTATTTGCAAGAACGTATTCATCAGCATGATCCAGCTCACTGTCCTCCAAATCATTAACATGTTTCTTGTCATCCTCGAACCAAAGACATGCATCCTTTTCATCAACTGCATCTTCAATGTTGAGAAAAGCATCACTTCTATCAGTAATGATAGGGCTGTCAACTTTTAAGTGATTGAGATCTATGTTTGTAAAGTTCTCTGACGAATTCAAGCTTTCCCGATCGTTCTTATTCATGCAATCGTAAGGCATCAAGTTCACTGGTTGACGGTTGATAGACAACTTATCCCAATCCGTTTCGTCATCAACTTCCTCACCTATGTTCTTGCAATTTTCGCTAGTGTTTGATGTAATGTTGTTATCTTCAAATCTCATGTCGTTACGATTCAAGCAAACACAATTTTCATCATTCACTGAGTAGAGTTGAACGTTATGGTCATCATCATCATCACCGTCTCTATCATCATAGACATCGCTATCGTCGTCATCGTAGTAGTGTGATTTGTTTTCGTTTAAGTTTAATTTCCACATTCTGTTGCCGCACAAATCATTTTTGTTTTCAAAACCGTCTTCGATACTGCTCCTAAAATGCAATTCGTCATTAGCACTGTTTTGAAAAACTGCATTCTCACAGAAGGAGCTGATTTTACTCAGATTGTTGTCCGACTGTTTTCGACTGGACACGAAATAATTCACATCACTGCAATTCATTTTATCATTATCCTCTCCAACACATTGGCAATTATTGGCAAGATTGTGTTTGCACTCATTGCTGTCATCATGCTTTTCATCATCACTCTTGTCATCATCGTCATCATTGGTGTTGTTGATGACGTCATCATCATCATCGTTGTTGTTGTTGTCATCGTTGTTGTTGTTGTCATCGTTGTTGTCCCTATCATGGTTGTCATCATCGGACGACGGCGAAAGATGCTTGTAGTCTTGTTTGTAGCTTTTGAAAAATTGAGGAATGGTCCCTATTGTTTCACTGCTTGCGGCTGACAATTTTTTCTTCCTCTTCTCTCCACTTACCAGCAACTCATCATACTCGTCATCATTGCAGTTATCATCATTATCGCTGTTGTCATCAATTTCTATCTCAGTTTTTTGGTCGGATTGTATATTTATTTTGTTGAAGTTGATGTTATTGTTCGAGCGAATCTTATGTTGATCTTGCGAGTGCCAGTGGCTGTTTGATCGACCGTTCTTTTTCAAACGATTAAAACCGGCATAACCAAGACTTTCACTGTTACTCATTTCTTTCTCTTTTACATTCCTTCTTCTTCTTCTTCTCATGTTCCTTGAATAATTTGTATTGCTGGCGTTAGTGCTGTGATTGTTCGTCCTATCTTTTAGTGAATCTGCCATCAACATACGGTCGCGTGCTGCAATCGTCCTGTTCAGAGCTTCACTCAGGTTCTCCTCTGTTCACCACATTAAAACATGAACGATAAAATAGACGATAATGCGATGGTAAGCAAGGGCAACTAGAAAGTACGTGATATCGTGAATTTTTGTTAAGAAAACATGTAGAATAAAAAGTTTATAAATTAAAAAAATAAAAAAAAACAAAATTCTAGTTGCACCCCTGATGGAGAAGCCGTGGAGAAGTTCAAAATTTTTAATATGAGACAAAATAAGCCGGGTTTAACCAAATTTACAAACAGAAATTTGGCCGGAGCTATAGCCATTAGCTTGCCAACACTAGTCTCAAAACCAGCATAGGACCGTGCTATATTATAGCCAAGTAGTTAACCTAATAAATTAACGTAAAATAAATATAATTTTAATTTGTACCTCTTAATTGATTTCAAAAAATTAGTTAGCACACCCTAAAAGTATTTATTAAAATAATGTGACGATGGATTATCATTTTACAAAAAATTTAACAATTACGTAAAAGACTCAAAAATTGACTAAATCTGAATAAATTAGCCTTAACGATCATTCGTTATTCGTTATTAATGAACATTCTTTGTAAATTTGGATACCAAACATATTGGGGATAGGCTTAAAAGTTAAAAAACTTTACTGATTTTGAAATCCTTCTTAAATAAATTTTTAGCTACGTCTTTGACTTATTTAACATGAAATCGGAAAATATCAAAAAGGCCGAGGTAATTTACAATGTGTTAATCTTCAAACGAGTAAAAAACCATCAGGCATTTTTTGGCTGATAAAATTATAGTCACCAACCATTATAAGCCAGCTCTTCAAGCATCTGCTGTCTGACCGCCAATTGTTCAGGGTCCAGAGAAGCCCCTGGTGGGACGGGAGGCACTCCACATATGAGGATGTATCCTTGAGCTGGTTGTGTTGGATCGCCCCACGATATTGCCAAGTTCAAGGACGTTTCCAAAACACGGAAAATCAGAAGAGCAAAAAACTATTTTATTGTGAATGTGAAAACTTGAATTCTTTCAATTATAATTTCAAATTTAGTTTTATAAAAATATGTTCAACTTGGTCTTCAGATTGTTTATAAATTGAACAAGTCTGGAATTAAATTCCTTTTCAAATTATCACAAAGAGTTATAATTAATTATATATATATATATATATATATATATATATATATATATATGTATATATATATATATATATATTGAACATTAAATTATATAAATAAATTTTATGATCTGTCAAAATATTAAAAAGCTTGAAACCACTGAATATTTATTATTATTATTTATTATTTACCACGCAAATAGTTAAAAGGTCTACATAAAACTGGCTTCAAATGATTTCCGACCTCTACCGGTAAATAGCTTAAGCAAACAATGCCTAATACTCTCAACCAGTATCCAACTACAGCAGAAACTCCTTCTCCACAACCCCTTTTGCTGATTGTCATGTCGGTATCTGGTTGGTAGTGTTTATGCCTACTGCCGTTCGTATAAAATGACGTTATGCATGGTCGAGCTTTTGAAGGGTTACAACAACTGAACGGAACAACATCTCCAACAAAAAATTCCTTCTTCGTTCCCTTGAGTTCACTGTAGCAATTTATTGTTGGAAATTATTATTAAAAAGCCTAAACATTAAATTTCAAAATATGTCTAGAAAGTTATTCTTTAAAAAAAAATATTGAAAAGATTCTAACTCTTGAAATGCATTATAAAATTTGTCTTTTGGGAAATGACCTTTCCGCATCCATTTGATCTTTAAAAATTTTTTTGATTTTGCTTCAAAATATTTGCTCAATCAAAAGAGAAATAATTCTAGATTTTGTTTGAGAGTTTCGAGACAACATATATATTTATAAAGTTAAGTTCAGTGTTGTTAAAATACTCTGTTGAGTATTTAGATACTTTTCAAATACTTTTTGAAAATTTATTGCTTAAATACCAAACGATGCTGCTAGTATTTAAATATTGTCTACATTACAAATAATTATTTTAAATATCACGCTATCTTCATTTGGTACCATTTTCTAATTAGCAAAAAAGTTTGCGTGCCTAATAAACAGATGAAACATTAAAAAACTGTTCATTTTTATTGTTTGATATATACACACGTATTACGTAGCAGTAAGTTTCTTAAATGTTTAAATTACTAATAAATAGGCATTCATATTAAAATTCAAACAAAAATGTTTGTTAATTTTGAGAGGCAGTAATGTCTCAAACACATTATTATCGATAAAACCACTTTTAAGTCATTGTAATTAAATTTGTTAGCTACAAAATTACCACCACAAAGTGATTACATTTTTTCTGAATAATGCAATTTGAATAAGTATTTAAAATAACTTTTAAATATCGGAATACATATTTGAATACTATTTAAATATTTAAACACTCCAAATACTTAACAACACTTGTTGCATTTTAGTAAAACATTCAGGACCTTGTGCCAGTCTTTATGACTTACAGCTCCACAACATCTGTACTGGTACTGTATGTGGTCTACCTTCATTTTGAAGTCTAAATTGCTGGCGTACACCTCAATGCCTTCCTTCATTACATTTGTCCAAGCCTATATTAACATTATCAACAAAGCGATTACTCAATAGGTTGACTTTATAAAATTTTATATTTTTGTGAAGCTAAAGTTTTATTAAATCTACAATAATTAAATGACTAAATAATTGGAAAACAAAATAATGTTCCCAAATAAAAATGAAAACAGCTGGTAAGATACACCAAGTACCGACCGTTTTCATAGTTTTCGTGTACCCATGCAGAAGACCGCCAAGAACAGACAGTACAATGATGAAAAGCAGATTAGAGGTGATGTAGACAAATGCCAATGTTTGGTATACAGACATGTTTCTGTACATTTTACGCCAGTCCGTCATAGTTAAACTGACCTTAGGTCGATATTTACAGGATAAATTTTAACTAAAAATCGCACAGACATACAGACAGTCACATATTAGAGATGCATCGGATTATTAAGCGGTTACACAGAACATACCAATGGTTTGGTTATTTTATACTTTTAATGAAACCAGTGGGATGCGTTTTAGCTTGTTTAATGCGCGAATATTTTACTGTTATGTAAAAATGATAGCAAAATGTCTCAAAGGGTTTTGAGACTATTCAATATGCCGTGGTGTGAAATTATCATAGCTTTGTTAACGTTGTTCAATTCACAATTGGGTTTTCAATTTTTTTTACGACGAATTTCAGTTCATGGTTTGTTAAAGTCATGTTTTTACAAAATTGAATATTTTTGCGTATCATAAGACTTATCGTGTTTGTGAAGACTAGACTACTATTATACTATAGTTCAGTTTATATTTATAGTTCAATAAACCAATTGTCAACATCTTTTTAGCTTCTACTCTGCTTTTTACTGTTTAGTAGATTTAACGGATCTCTCGATCAATTTATCCTTCCACGAATTTTACATCTTTAGGTTCAAAAATAATGTCTATAGCAACGACTAATTTACAAATGTTTGTCGTTAATTATTGAAATATTCAGCAAATCGATAACTAATTAATCCGCCACGGAAATTTTTACAACGCCATTTACGTTCAACAGGACTCCTCGACGATTTTAGTGAATAGACCTATCGTCATATGAGGTGTAATATTTTTTTCTTTCTTAAATATTTTTTAGAGGCATCAACAACACACACACAAACACATATACACTGAGTTCATATGAATCCGCAACCACACACATGGCAAGTGACGGGTGAATGGAGATCTCTGCAAAAGAACCTCAGCAGCATGGCCAAGCGTTTCAACCATTACACCATCTCGCCTCACAAAAAAAATCGAAACAGAATTTTATGAATAAAAGTCAGAGACAGTAGAAAACAAGGAAGTTTAACTAAGATAATAATGAATGAAAATGAGAAAAACATCTTAATCCACACGGTGTATATGTAAATACAGATTTTGTTACACCATTTAAAGAAGTAGTGGGAGTGACAAGTCAACAATGAAACAAAGCGATTGATCTAACGAATAAATCAATATCAGTAAACTACACGTTACACAACGCTGAGGAGTAGCTGCAATTAAATTAGTTATCCGTTATGACATCCTATTTGTTTATTTTTGAATCATTTTCATAAATGCAGTTCTCACTTTCAGAATTCTGTTAACTAAAACCTAAACCAACCAACACAACCTAAGCTCGTCATAAACACACTTTGTGGATCCTCAAAAATCTTTTAAACATCCATATTTTTAAATCTTGGTGTTATCTATATTTTATTTTATATCTTCCTGGCCTAGACAATGACTCATACAAATAAACGGAGAAACGGCTGAACCCGGAAAACACAAAATAAGATTATAAAGTATCGAGGTATTTGGTTTTAGCGCGCTGATGAAAGATGCGTTAAAAAAGCGGGAACAAGAACATACCGATTATTTTAAACACGAAAAATAACTGATAAACTCAATGAGGTTTGAAAGTTTTAACGATTTTTTGTTTTTAGGATACTGTAGAGTTTTGTGATCAAGTGAAGTCCGTGAAAACGAATGTTTATATGGGTCTTCACGCTTCAGTGGGTAACTTCTAAAAGCCAAATAAATTACATTGATTGAATAACACATAAATACTGAAGTTTATTACTTAGCCTGAACGTTGACCCAGAAGTGTTTACGTTGTTATATAATATTTTAGTTGTTGCGGACATCATTACCTTGAGGTTCTCTGCACAAATTGATATAATAGATCGCGGCGTCAGTGCTGTTCACGCTTTTAAGTGTATAACGGGAAAATACGACAGTAACAGCAGTAAAATATTTATATATTTATGTGATAAACATAGTATGTATTAACAAACTTCAAAGCCAATGGCATGATACGCAAGATGAATGATCCCAGCTATGATCACAAAATTTGGAAAGGCCTCACCTACGTGATTATATTTAAACTCATGGTAATCCAAAAAGACGACTTTCAAGTAGATACCCCCAGTCAAAATAGCCGTCCCCAAGATAAAGCAGCTCATTTGAAACAGTAAAGAAACGTAAGCAAGAAACAGCCGACCCGATTCGCCGAGCATACACATGTTGCACGAATTTTTAAACTTTTCTATCCAATTTTACACCTAATAACACAAAACGTTGCAAATAAATTTATTCAGATATTACAACTTAGTGTCGTTGGATAGTTTCAAAATAAAATCATAACAAAACATAAAATGACGTTAAAGCGCTTAATTAGTTTTTATAACAGGTATGAAATTAGAGATATCCAGAATTCTCACGTGTAAAGTGCCAGCCACAAAATTTGACTGTCGAAAAAGGCGGGGTATCTGATCTGATGCACCGCCAATTCATTTTCCTCCATCAATTTGCTCGCTTACTGCAATAAAGAAAGATACGTTCAAAAATTGACTTGTTATTGAGAAATTTTCGGTTTAAAATAGATAAGTTTGGAAATTGACGTTTGTTGAAAATTACGTTTTTTTCTTTAAATTCCGTAAGTCGCATTCGTAAGTCGTAAGAAATATTATGACAAACGTTTATGTTTTTGCTGCTGCTTGTTTTTACTGCCGCTTGTGAACTAATGCCAAAATCAAGTGCATTTTATTTTTTGAAAACAATTGACAATTTATAACATTCTTTAAAGACAGTTCTAAATCTTAAATTGTATAATTATAATGACTTGAATGAAAGTTCAATATCAAACATATTTTAAAGTCAATGTCTCGCCACTAAACAAAGTACCTTGCGACATCAAATTAACTAGTTTCTCGTCTAATGGTAATTCCATGTTGTTGTTTGATTCAAGATCAGCAAACAAATGTAGCTTCGACAAATTTCGACGTTGATAATCAATTTTCAAAGTTTTAGCTAGTTGGTCTAAACATTTGCCAATGGACCAACATTTATCAAAGAAAACGTAATGATGGGAGTCTTCAAACATGACATCAAAATAAATACGGTCGTCAACGGGTAAACCAGTATCTCCCTTTGCCTTTAATTTTATTTTCATCAAAGCAATCTTGGCGGTGGTGTTCGCAGATCTGGAATTAAGTGGTTTCGTAAATTTTGTGTTTTTAACTTTGTCAAACGATAAACTATCTACCAGCTTTGCCGTTTTTGCTTTTTTATCTCGGTTTGTTGGTTTTTCAGGGCACTTGTGATCTTGAGGATGTCTATGCTGAAGACAAAATATTTGTCCGCAACACTCGCATATTATTTCAATTAATTCTTTCTGTGTACAATCTCTAAAAGAACAATCATATGATATGCTAGAAGAATTATTACGAACCGCTCCACAATCAGAAATCTCGGACGAAAAACTTTGACAGTTGTGATTTATATAATAAATATGAATTTTACAGAAGGAAAGGTGACACTTGTCACATTCCAATGGCAAAAAATCCAAGAGATGACATTCCTTAAGGCTACAATGATCGCCTATTTTCAACTCGGCCATCTTTAGGAAAATTTGCAGACGGTAACCCAATTTCACTCGCAAAAATAGAGGCGAAAGTTTGAGAAGAGCAACGAGTGTAGTTTCAATTTAACTGAACATTGGCTGTTTGCTGTTATCCATCTGATTTAGAGACATTCTAGACACCAAATATTAAAAAGTTGACTAATAAGCAATTTTCAAACAAAATTTTTTTTTCAAATTTAATTATATAATTACGGATCAATTTTAAAAGACCAAATTCAACATTTAACAATTTAACTAGATTACTAGAATCTGGATTCGTTTCTGTATCACAAGTGTTTTTTATAAATTGAATATTCAATATTAAAACTTTCGTGTCCAAGCTTTAACGTTTTTATAACAAAAATTTGATTAAAGTTTAAATCAAATGTTTTATTTTCATATGTCCTATATAAAACACTGGAATCCTATAATATGGCACGTACGAGTAACCTACTTACCATACTACTATAATAATAATGGAGGCACGTTCATATATACAATAAAAAATAAAAATAAAATTTGTAATTGCCTATGCAAAAACTTTGAAAATTAAAAAAAGATTAATTTAATTAAGCATAAAGTCTAAGGTCTCATAGCTCACAATAAATAAGTCTTAGTGATGCGACATCGTACCTCAACCACCTTTAGCATTGTACAGATTGCACTTTGTTTACTATTTAAGAATAGATGCATGTTTAATTGCGATTGGAAGCTCATTTTTAGTAAGTAAGGTTGTCGTTTCTAAGTTTTTAAAATTATGTATATTCCAAGTTATATTAAATAGATTAAATAACACACCAACGGATTCTGGAAAACAAATTACTACCAATTTGTGATCAATGTAAAGTTAGATTATCAATCCAACATATTTTAATAGATTGCAGAAATTATAACCGATACAGATCCTATAAATGCCCTTTTCCAAATATTTTACCAGAGATATTTGTCAACCAAGTCACATCCAAAATATGTTTTAATACTTCGTCACAAAGAATATATAAAGAAAAATAAAGATAGCCGGAAAACGAGCTAAAAAGCCGTAAAATTGTGAACGAACGAGCGGATATATGAAATGTATATATAATTTTTTGCGGGTTACATCATCATCATTAGAATACGGCTCTATTCTAAGTTTATTTATAACTATGCTGGTAATGAATTTCTTAACTAAAAATCCCACCCACTAACAGCATTGTTTGTAATAAGAGAGATTAGCACTTTTAAATAAGTGACAAAAGGTTGAACCTAAATTTTCAGGCATATTTGGTTATCATAGTCATATATTTTACAAATCAAAACTTCAGGTAAACAGGTAAGAATATTTGTGGTTATCCCCAGCAGTCCAACGTGTGAGCTCACAGCAACCTGAATAAATGACGCTTCATAGGAACAAAACGAGACGCACTCCAACTGTATGCGCCACCTGATTTGATCCTTTTATTGACTTACTAATATAAAAAGTGACAATGTTTAACTATATTTTCAAAAGCAAATCAAACTCAGAGAAGGGTGCGTTAAAATTCAGATAAAAAAATTCATAACAAATGTGATAATGTTAATAGTAGTAAATCCTATTTAATGAAAACAAAAAGTGCTTTAAATTTACCGGATAATTAATTTGTTTACAACATGCACGCCAAAATAAACATTACCAGTTTATTAGCAATTGCTTTAAAACATAGCATTAATTTGGTGCAAGAAAAATTGTATGCATTTTTTACGTATTACGAATAAAAATAAAATTCTATTTGACGTGCACTTGAATAAATCATTAATTATGTATACCCATATACACAAAATCACATGCGCCTAATATACGTGATTATTACACATACACACATGTATAACACACACGCCACATACTGTTTTAACTTGCACGACCGTCGTGCATCTGTTCCAACGTAGGTTAACTGATTTCTGATAGATAAACGTAAATACTTCAACCACAGACTTGTACAAACGTTTATTTGAATGCCAACGATATTTTAAAAAAGGCTGAATCATTTGCTAATTCCAGAAATACGTTTGATGTAACACGATCACAAATAACTCACGGTCCAACCCCATATTCCAACAACTACCTCTCTTTCACAACTCATGCTGTACTTATATACAGTCGCTTTTACAATCGCTTGTTACAAAGATACCTGATTCTGACAAGTTATTAGTATTGGAAACATAATAATAAAATCAAGATAAAAATAATTGAAATCAATCCTATAGAGCAATTTGCAAAAACAGCATTTTGACTATTGCAGCAGATATAACATTCACCACCAACTCAGCCTGTTAGTCCCTAACGTAGACGTTATTTTTTTTCAATGAGTAAAAGGCTAACCTATCCAAATGAATTATTTTCATCTATGCCCGCTGTCTTTTATGATCTTGGATCCGAAAGACCACGTCGGTTGATCTTGTACGGACCTTCCCAATTTCTTTGGAGCTTTGGGCATCGCCCTTTTTGCACCGTGAGTTGTATAATCATACCAGGTCATTGCATTTGAAACCTGCATTATTTCTTCCTTGGTCATCTGGGTATTCATTGTTTCGGTTCCTTTAGCTACAGGTAGACGTCGTGGACCCTTCTTGATTTTGTTGACACTTGTTGACAAGATGGATAACTTAGACGCATGTTGCAATATTTGTTGCTGACATCTTTCCTGTTGACCAGTGATGGAGCGTTGAAAAACCCAACCTCATCAGCACTGAAGTCGTCGTTGAAGTCATCATCAAGGTGGAAGAGGACCAAGCTTTCCTTCCTTAAGCACGGTGGATGAGTTTTTTCCTTGGTTTTTCTTGGAAGTTTCAACATGTTTGGTTTGATGTCCAGAATGAATATTCGCATCAGCATTGACACCAGCCCCACTGGCATTGTTAAATCTTTAAATTATTGCTCTCACACCCTCCCAGAGTAACGTCTCACCTAAATTATCAAAAACGAATTTTTGGTGAGTGTTGCATTGTTGCTATTATTGTTACTATTGTTATTTTTGATGTCGTTGTCATCAATGAGAAGCATGCTATAAATGAAAGCAGGCGAGATCCGATTGGTAGCCCCACTGCATATCAATAGCTTCAAAGTCTTTGTCACTGCCAACTTCTAGAATATTTTTAAGACCTTCATCATCATCTTCATCATTATGACAACGACTTCCCTTCTTCACGTTATCACGTGCATAACGGTCGAAATCAACCCTAGGAAGTATAGACCTGCAATCGCTAACGTAATTGCAGGTAGTTGAATAAGCTGATGAGATGACGTTAGGATTTTATTGGCAATCGTGCATATTTCTGTGATTCGCTGTCAATGAAATGAACGTTTAAACAAGTCTGTCTTCAAAGCTGTCAGAAATCAGTTAACTTGACGATCGTGCAATCGTGCAAGTTATAATATATATATATATATATATATATATATATATATATATATATATATATATACATATATATACAAACACACACATACACATAAACACATGTTTGTATAATCATATCTAGGGTGCATAAATATGCATACATCTATACACACTCACGCATCTAATTCAAATGAGTAAATTAATGTTGAAAGATGGGTTTGTTAAAAACGGTTGAACATTTGAAATATTCAATAAATTGATGGCCAAAAAACTTAATGTATCCATTTGACAATAAAAAAGCTCTGACATAAAAACAAAAAAGCCTGTTCAATAAAATTGACTGCACAATTTGTTCAAATGAAAAAGAAAAAACTTATGAACAATAATTGTAGGATAAAAACAAGAGATAAAAACATGTCTGCTTGATAAAGAGAGATATAAACAATATTATAAGCCTAGCCAAATAACCCGCACATCTAAAGACAAGTACTGGCTCATTTTCGTTGTCTCACATTCTCTGCTCCTGAAGCATCGGACATCTTGTTGCTTTAAATTGTAAATGTGAAATATTATTAATACGTTGATGAATATATCATATTTGTTCGTTAAATATAATTTATATGAGCAGTAGTAACAGAGTAGTAAAACTTTGTGAGCTTATTGCACAAAGCAGTGTGTTGTTCCAAGTTAACTCACCACCGCTTTCAATTTTGCAGGATTGCAGAACCATTCACACGGAGTACGGTGATGTCTGCCCGTAAATATATATAAATATAGCTGCATTGCTGCAAATAACGTTGAACCTCACACAGACTTAGTAAGCAACAACACATGATGGGAACGAAAAATTTTAAATTTATAAAAAGGTAAAATGTTTGTGTTAATTATCTAAAAGTGATTGATAGCAGTACTACCTGTCATTTTTTCCAACGTCGTCAGCATCTAATTTGGATTTTCTTTTTTCATAGACGACAATGATTATGATGAGAATTAAGATTTCTGCTACAATCCCAATGAACGGCCACAGAGCAGCCAACTTATCTGCATTAGTTTTAAAATCATCAAACTGTAAAATTAAGGCTTGTTTGCTTTCAAAATGTAAAAAAGTTATCAAAAACAATCATACAGGCACAGTGATGTGTTTTCACAACAAACTTGCTGGAAAAAGCATTAAGCTAGAGCATTTATCGCAATTTTTGCATGACCCTCACACATTAAAAATGATTTAATATTGGTGGCCTGCACGAGATAAAATAAAATATAACGATTCAAACATCTGGTCAACATTCAAGTACTATAGTGCAATTTTTTATACAACTTCCATGCATACTAAAAAATAAAGTACTATAGTTCAATTTTTTATACAACTTCCATGCATACAAAGAAATAAATTAAGCCAAGTCTTTTTCAATGTCTTCCAACCTTTAACTCTAATCTTGATAGTGCTGGTACTGTTGCCAAGGTCGTTGATGGCGAAACATTTGTAGACCCCATAATCATCCTTCTTTGTCTCGTTGATGAAAAGAGTACTACCCTCACTAAAAAATTGATCAACATCATTTTCCACTCGATACCAACTGTAGTTAACTGTTGGGTGTCCATATGCGTGACAGCTAAGGTTCACAGAGTTACCATGGACAACATTCAATGACTTGTCAAGAGTCTTTACTATGGGACGAGCTTCATAATTTGGATTAATGAAAATAGGCTTGATATTTTGTATGAAGTCTACTTTTAAGCATTGACAACCAATTGATAAAAAACTAGGCACTAAATGTTAAACAAGTTTGCATGAAATTTAACATAAGAACTTACAACTTATTTCCACAGTAAGATTGCTATTCTCAACCAAACAAAAGTACCTGCCAACGTCATGTTCAGCTAGAAAAATGTATAATCTTTCATTAATTTTAATATCATTAAAGTGTTCAGCTTCAAAATTTTAATTTAATCTTAAATTTAAAAAAAAAAATAAAAATAATTTAATGTGATTAAAATACTTTTTGCTCAACTATTACATACAAAAAATTTTTTACGTTAATTTTACTTGCAGAAAGTTATTTTTACTTCATTTTTATTTGCTAAAATCTCCCTTCTTAATACTTTTTACTTTTACATAAGTAAATTAAATATCACTGAATATAAAATGTATTCGCCACTCTTGAGTTTGTGGAAAATGGTTTAGTATAATCAAGTGATGTCCTTTTATTAGAGTTCATGATAAAATAGCAACTTGGCTTATTTGATTTGTTTTCTTCCTACAACATTAGGATGGTCTCAAACATTAAGTATAAAATAAATTAAGGCTAGGGAGGAAAACCGTTTATAATTTTAATATAAACCCCAACATTACAAAAATGAATTGATGACCTTCAACTTGGACAATTTTCAGACAATTTCTGCTATCTTGACATTATAAGCATATAATAACAAAAACTACATGTTCAACACCAGTATTTTCTCAGCTAACTGAAAAAACTAAGGCTAATTACAAAAGAAAATAAAATACGAAAATTCATATTATTGTTATAATACTCGCTGTCGTAACCGATTTACGACGGGTTCAAATCTTCGATTGAATAAAATACTCCAAACAGTTATTAAACTTTATTTACAGAAGAAATCAACTAATCGTTTATTTCTAGCAAATTCAAATTAACGCAACAATTAACTTTTAAATTGTTCAAAATCTATCGCTATGACAACGTCAACAAACAAATCAAATATCGCTTTAAATAATTCACCGAATCGCTATTCACAAGATCACAGAGTCACGAATTTACAAAATCACGAATTTCACTAATCACTAATCTTCTTGCGACGTGCGCTTATATACTCCTCGCAACCGTCGTTTCTAGATTCTTCTAGATGGTCCGATTCTAGCATACTCTAGAATGCTCCAGTCACTAGATCTAGAACATTCTAGAATACGCTAGAATCTAGTGCGTTCGGTAGCACGGTTATAACATTATATTATACACGTACATGCATTTATGTAAGCGTGAATTACATAGATTCCAGTTCAAAATTAAGACTTACTGATTTTGTTAATTGTAAGATTTTTTCCAGATATTTTAAAATTATCTTTTGATTCAATCAGTTGCCCATATGGATTGAACCACTGCTTGACTGGTTCTCCTGGACATTCAATGGTTACCGCTGTATAAAACTTCTCAACCACAGCAGCTAGAATCATAAATAAACATTTAATTTTACATTGTCAGATATCATCAACTTTTCAAACAAAAATGCTCTCCACTTCATTGAAAATAAATTCTCACACAGTATAATGCAACATATTGCGCATATATGTATATATTACTCTCTTTTATTTATTAGATTCTTTTATTTTATTTAAGAAACAATTAAAGAAAGAATTAAATTTTCTGTTAAACTGTGTTAAATTTTGTTTCTTATTTTTTCAAGTTAGTTTTTCATGGAAGTTTTTCAAGTTACCATAATCACTATTTAATTAGAATTTAGGACCACATAATTAATAATTAGCTAAAATTATATACTAATTCCGTGTAATGTAAGTACCATTAAATAAATTTAATTCTTGCTGTTGAACTTGGTTGATCTAACATTAAAGCTCAACTAAGCTGAAATTTAACTATAATCTAACTAAATCTAAGTACAATTTAACCAGTAATTCTCTAAAATTCAGCTTAATTCAAATTATTTTAATTGATTGAGTTGTTCGGCTTGCTGTTGAACCTACAATCAGCTATGCTAAAACTCTGGTTGCCACAAACCGGCATACTGAATCTCAGAGATAAATCAATTTCAAATAAACAACAGCTTGATGGTCATGGATCTAGCCCTTTGTGTAACAATAAACCAGAGGATGACAAGGCAGTGGTTGATTTTGAATAGCTTATTATATCAAGATAGGATTTGTAATAAACAACATCAGGAAACACATGTTGCAAAAAAAAATAAAGCCATCAAGATTGATAAAACTTTTGCTGTGACATTTGCATTCATAAGTGCTTTGAACAAGTGATGCAAATAGGTGGTCATGGCACAATGGTTAGATCAATGAATCAAAATTGTTCAAAGCAAAGTTATAAAAAGAGAGGGAAATGTAAATTTCAGAAAATGGTAAATTTTTAGCATCTTGTTGATGAGGTTCAGGCTCAGGATGCACAAATCCTGATACCATTGATAATTAAATGGATAGCTCCCTGAACAACCACTGTGCCAGTTCAATGGCATGTCTATAGCAAACAGGGAAACATGAGCTGCATGTATTTGACAGTGAATCATTTCCTAAATTTTTAAGAATCAAGCGACAAAAAAGCACTTATCTAAAATGTGGACTCAGTGTGGGCTGCACTGAAGAGGAAGATAAAATTTTTATATGATATCTCAAATAATCTCTGGTCTACCTATTAGGTGGAGTTTATAAGCTTCAACGTTGCAGGCAGATTTCGTTTGAAAGTAAAACTGTCCTTAAACATAACTTCATGTTTATAATTCCAAGAAGTAAAAAGTCTGAAACATTTTCCAGCTGAAACCCTGCCTGCTATACCAGCCATTTGGTTAGCTATAGCATTATAGGAACAAATTGTTAGTGTTTCACAAATGGGTGCTTCACATTTGGGTGGCTCTTCCCATCAAAATGAATGATTGTACTACAATGCTAAAAAAAGGAATACTATAATGCCGATATGCTGAAGGAAGTCCATGATCTTTATTTATAACCCACAGCCATGCTCAATAATTGTAGACCTTAAATTAAAGCAGTCACGAATAAGAATATGCCATTTAAGCTTGGACATATATTTTTGTCTACCTAACCATGCATATAATATATAATTATAATATAAATAGCGTAATCTGTACTGTACACATTATTTTCAAAAGTATAAAATAAAAACTATATAAAAATAAATATATAAAACAAGACATATAATACTCTTGTATTACATTATTTAATAATTTTATAGTGCATGTTGCATTTCTGTTCATCATTAAAAATCAATTAACATGAAAAAAATATATATTTATTGTTGATTTATTTATTTTTTTTATTATTATATAATTATTTTGAATTTATTTTTCTAAATATTAATTAATTTATTTATAATGTGTATATAATAAATTTATTTAAATAAATAAAATATAGTGTTAGTTATCAGTTAAGGTAAGAATATCTAATAAATAATGATTGTTGTCATTGCTTTTGTTTTGTATGTTAGTAGTATTGCATTCATTATTATAGTAATCAGTAGCAATGGCAGGCACAGAAGTACTGCACTCTCTTTCTGTCTATCTTATAATTTCTAAACAATCATTCCCTATTGTAGAGTTTTGGATCAGCCAACTACCTAAATTTTATAGTGCAGGTGGTTCAAAGGCCGTTTTTAAGCAAGCGTAGCGAGTGGCAGTCGATAATGTCTGACTGGTCCGCAGGCAAAAGGTGTATTTATTTAATTTTATATTAATATAAAAATTGTAATTTAAGAAACAACCTTTTATTTCGAGAGAGAAATAAATAGACAGAACAGCTAAATTCGCAGCAATACCGCACCAAAACATTTTTAAAGAATGAAATCTCAACAAAATGGCCGAAAAAGATACGCGCAACTGCGAAAGTAAACACAGGGTCTGCAAAATACAGCAGCACCTGCTACCAAATCTATATATGTATTGTATATATTACTTTTACTTATCATATATTACATATATTATATATTTATATGTGTAATTTTAAATATTATAAATTTATATATATATATATATTTTATTATTTTATTATCTATATATTATATATATATAATATATCCAATATATATATATGTTTGTGAATATACATTTACAGCGTATGCATATTAAAATAATAATAATATCATATGATGTATATTAACCATACACATAGAATACTTAGAATAGATGCTAAATAAATAAATTAATTAATATTAATATGTGTTTACTTTAATACAAATTTGTAATCAATTTTGAGTAAAATGAGGAGCATGTATAATGATTTTTTTAATCACCTTAAATCTAATTTTTAGTATGAAAATTATATAATATTTGATGTTTCAAGCGCCATGTTATTTATAATGATATTGCCTTCATCCTTTCTAGTTATTTAATACTTTATCGGAAGCAAAAGCGTCACACACACCCATTTATTGCAAAGGAGCTACCAAACAGTAAAGGTTTTGGTTGGATGATTCTCGATAGCTGAAATACAGGATATGAAGCTTTCAGGTCATCGACGATCAGGCCCATAAATGTTAATTAGAATTAATCATATATGTTAAATGTTGATGTTGATGTTCCTGTTGTTGAATGAACGTTCAACATATATGAAATTAATATATATAGGCCTATATATATATAATCAGGCGAAGTGCTATGGTTTAATTCTTATGTGTAATCCGCTTATACTTGCATGAAATTTCAGACTGTAAACCTTTTATCGTATTTTTCACATTACTCTCTTTACGGGTTAAAACAGTTTTTTCACTTATTCATTATATTTTATACAAAAAATCATCAAACGGCAGATGTATATTGATGGCGAGTGGGAGATTTTATGAAGGGGTTATTAAGTGGCAAATTTGAGGAAAACTTAAATGTTTGCGAGAACGTCAATGCCATTCTATCATATTAACATATTTCTTATCATCGTTGTCTTATATCTTATAACGGCAAAGCTTCTTGTCACCATAATGCAAAAAGTTTTTAAAAATAAATAATTGAATAATTAAAATGTTTGGTTGAAAATGTTCAGTTTAATTTTACATCTTTTGGTTTGACTTCTTTACTTCCATGTATAGAATTTACTCTGCAAAAATTTATCTAAGGCCATCTTGAAGCTAGTATTGTTGGCTGATTTGACCACATTTTCAGGTAGGCCATTCCAGTCATTTACTATTTTGTTGGTGAACTAGTATTTTCTGACATCTTATTTGCAAGTCTACTCAATCAACTTCATGTCAATCTCTCTTGTCATGGTAGGTGCTTAGTCTGGTTTGATATCGACATCCAGCAGTCCATTAAGCAGTTGATAAGTTAATACCATGTCTCCTCATCTGCGTCTGTAAACAAGTGAAGGCCAGCCTAGAAGCTTTTAACTATTTTCGTATTTTAATGCTCGTTTCTGAACCCTTTCTAAGTGTTAAATTTGGTATTTTCTAAAGGGGTACCACACAACCACACCATATTCCAGAATTGACCTAACCATAGATTTATAAAAAAAAAGTGAAAAGGCTGCTATAGGTGCATTTTTGAAATTTCGTTTTAACAAACCAGCCATTCTATTTGCTTTTCTAGAAGTCTGAAAAACATTGTCACTGAAAATCAGCTTGGAGTCTATAAGTATACTATAATTCATAGATTTTTCTACCTCAGTTAAGGGCATCTTTACTCCTCCTTGTTCCTATTAAGGCATATGTTGAGAACTGCTTTTGACCTCCAACTTTTAATACGAAAGACTTGGAAGCATTTACTGTTAACCCACATCTCAAAAACCATTCACCTATATCTTCCAAAGTTTTCTGCAATGATCGACAGTCTTCTTCAGTCTGAATCAAGTTAAAGATTTTGGTAGTAATTGCAAAAAGTGGAATGTTTTCCCAAACATCTGCAACATCATTGATGTAGATGATAAATAGGAGTGGACCGAGCGTGCTGCCTTGAGGTACTCTGCTGCTGATCTTTTTGGCTGTGATAATGCATCCTCACTTTTTCATCCGGAATGTTCGATTGGTCAAGAAACTTCTGATCCATCCAATAGTGTTTGTGTTAACCTTGTAACTTGACAATTTTGATATCAGTTTGTTGTGAAATATGGTGTCGAAGGCACGTTATTATGTTATATACTCTATTAAAATTCCTCAGAAGATTGTACTGTGATTAAATGCTTTGTTGAACAAATAACTTTTTAACAATCTTCTGAAATCTTTTTCTGGGACAATTTGCTTCAATCTTGTTGGAAGATCACTCCATACCTTGGGCAGAGCAACCTGCACACATCTGTCACCCAGTTTTGTCCTGGTCCTAGGAATTACCATAATTTCTGACGAAACCGAACGCATTGCTTGTCTCACATCAACTTCAGTTCTTTTGCGAAAAACCTCTTTCAGATATTCTGGGCCACCACCATGTACGAAACCATGAGCCAGCACAGCCATCTTAAATCGTATTCGTTCTCTGATCGGTAGCCAGTGAAGACCTTACAACCACTTTGTAATGTGATCACGTCTACTTAGACCAATGACCAATCTGGCGGCAGTATTTTATATTCGTTGAACTTTATTTACAACCCCTACACCAGCACCATAAAGCAACCAATTGCAATAGTCTAATCTAGACAGTACAAAAGTGACCACCAGGCTAGTAAAAATATCAACTGGAAGACATTTCTTGACCAGATACAAACACCGTAGCTGGAGAAAGCAGAGAGCATTGAGTTTCGCAACCTGAGGCAACATCGTATCAAACATCGCATCAAAGCACTGTCAAACATCACATCCAAGTTTTTGACCTTATCAGCCGAGATCAAGCTATTATCCAATATATCAAAAGACATACCTCCTAGTGCAGATAAATCCTTCTTAGAATCAAACCATATCAACATGCCTATTTATATTTTCACATCATGCTGGTCGTATTTATTAGCAAAAATTTTATTTTTCATATCAACGGCGCAGCGAAACACAAAATGATTGCACTAAAACAACAAGCTAGGTAAGGTGATTTACACTTTTAGTATTATAATAGTAGTAACAACGATTAACAACGATTGTTTTTAATTATTTTCGTGTAAATTACTTGTGGCATCATTAATTATTATGGAAGACATGAAGCAGGGACAATTTTATCAAAATAATAAAAAAAAACTATGAATAAACTTTCGGCTTGAGAAGTAACATCAAAAACTAACTTTATCTTATATTTTAATATGAAAGCTTTTAAAATTTTAGAACATTAAACAACAATGAAAACTGCCATTATTTTTGAAAATTAATGTTATTATTTAAAACAAATGTCAAAACTACATTTTGTAAATAATTTAAACTTTTAAAGATGCTTTAGAAAGTTGCACAAGCAATTCAGACACTGTTCTACGAAGTTCATTAGCAGAGTTTCAATTAAACTAGTTTTTAGTAAAAATTGTGAACTGTAGGAAGTACGTGGAGATGGCATCACTTGTTATCGTCAGGTTGTGTGTGTGTAAGGAAACGTTCCCTGGTCTGTTCGTTCCTCATCTTCACGTGTTCATTCTCCACCAACCGCACGCACTCTTTCTTGAACCAACCTCTCCTCCCGTCTCGAATGCGTTCTCCTTCGCACCAACCTGCCAGTCAGCCAGTCAACACCAAATTTTATTCAAAAGTATTTTATTTTAATAAGGATTTCCACGAAGTTCTGCTTTTATAAAATATTCTATGGCAACATTATTGAGAACATTGCTTCAACAATTTCAAATAGCAGCTAAAATAACTGCCTGATTCATAAATTTTTCATAATAATCTTGAACAATAATTTTATTATTTTTTGTTAAAACAAAAATGTGTGTCTCTGAGATCGTTATTTTAAGTCTTTAAACGTAAAATCATTGAACTAGATTTTTCAAAAACCCCAGCAGTACCATCTAGCCTAGCAATTAAATTTAGTAGTGTAAAGAATGTCTATTTGTAAGGCAACAACTTTGTTTTTAAATGGATATATTTAGAAATATTCTAACTCTAAAATTTCTTTCTAAAACTTATGATGTTGACAGTTAAAATTTCGAATATATATTATACACAAAGATGGGTGACGATATTGAGTAATGGTAAAGGCGCCTGGTCTTTTTGTTGCAGTACCTGGATTTGAGCTCAGAGATATCCGCTTAGCAAGTGCAACTGCATTGTGTGCCATGCTTTTTTTCATTTTTTTTGTCTCACAAACAAAAAATAATTTTGTGTGAAAAGAGTCAACCGAGTACTGTCTGTCTGTTGTTGATACCTCTGAGAAATAAATATAAGAGAAGAGAGATTCGATGACGCGTTTGTGTGTGTGTGTGTGTGTGTGTGTGTGTGTGCGTGCAAACAAAAATTTAAATAACCACCACCATCTACGAACGCCAAAGAAAGATTGAGAAAGTCGCCCGCTTGCACATCGAGCTCGTCCAACTGGCGCGGAACATGGCAGGATATGGCGCAAACTTGAACACAATCTTTTTTTAAGCAATTACAAATTTATTAAAATTATGCAATCTTTAAAACAAGGTTTTTGATATGAAGCAAATTATTCAAAATTAGTTTAAATAGAAATTAGATAGCAAATGTGAAAATTGACTACTGTTGGGCGAGTAGGAATGATTGTTGTTGCCTGCATCGCCATTCAGCACTTGAATCCACCTCAACCTCTCACTTCTGCGTGGCGCATTCAATTGAGTTAAATTATTAATATTTAAAAAAAATTAAAACAAAAATATCTTTGTCCTGGTTGGTGTTTAATGTACGAACACCAGAACAGGTGACCAAGCAAGTTACAACGTAAATGAGAAGAACATTTTTTAAACCTGTAATAAATAATGTAAAAAGACAAGAACGAACTCGGCATTGCAGGAGAAAACGAACGGTTCATCGAGAGATTGTATGTGGATGTAGAAGAAGAACTTCATCATAGTGGTTGGTGCTGATGGAGTGAAGGAGGATGAAGGTGACGTTGGGGATGATGAGGATGGTGTGGGAAACAAAGAAGATGGACAGGAAGTGGGTGTGAGGTTGTTGTAATCGTTGATGATGTCGGAATGAATGTGGTGAAGAGGACAGTGATGCAAGACTGTATGCAAAAATCTGTACAAAATTTAATAATATTAAAATTAACAGATATTATGTAATGGTTATAAGAAAAATTGACGTTTCAAGTACTTGAGACAAGATTTTGACATAAAGAACAATTTCATGGAGAAACAACATGTCAACATGATATGAACAATAAAATCGTTTAAAAATAATGAAAACAGCGCAAGAATTAATTACTGAAGACAGGTAATTTCAAACCCTTCTTTTTGAGCAATTATCAGTAGATCATTGAACAGCAAGATCTCCATCATTCTGTCTTCCTTGTACTGCGTTTGGAACAAACTTTTTATTTTGCTGATGGAATTTTTCAATTTCAGTTTTTTCTTATTTTTGTGGTTTTGAACACCATTCGATTCACTCTCATCGGTTTCGCATGTTCCATAGGCTTTCAAGTTGAATTTAATTCTAAGCAGCGATCCACGCTTCTTCAAATAACGATCACTTTTAGCTACAACAATTGTCTGTGTAGTTTTCGCGTTTTTCAACTTTCAAATAAATTTCTTCTAAAAATCATTTACAATGCAAATCTAAATGTTTTTAAACATAATTGATCATTATTTCAGTGATCAACCTTCATAAGATTTTTGAAGCGCAAGGACTTTTGTAATTCAGCCACAGCTTCGATGTTTTGCAAATATTTTGCCTTTTCATTGCTTTGACGAGCAATCTGAATATTGAATGGTGATTATCAAGTTATTCCAATAATTTTAGCAGCAATTTTATAATTTTTTTAATTCACTCAAATAAATTGAAATAAAAATTATTTGCATAGTTTTTAGCACAATCACTCGATTCTAGATTATTAGAAAAATCCAAACATTCAGAAATATTTCTAAGCACTCGGTGATCTCTTTTGGTACGGAATCTGACCCATCGGGTAATTTTTCGATGATGTTTTCAATGAGAAGAGGCATTCTTGTGATCCTTTGAATAGGGGCAATAAGGAATGATTGCAGCTTCAAGCCCTCAACTTTTGGATCGGATTCTAACATTTCCAACGAGGATCGAAAACTTGGATTTCTGGATAGAAAAGTTGTTGCAAACTATTATGTATGCCGTCAGCATTTAAAGGCAATCTAATTTTCAAACGAACGTCATCAGTTGGTTAAGCATTTTCTGTTGGTAGTAAGAATTGCTAATGTAGTTTATGTAAATGTCCGAATATTTCCTGGCTGTTCCTGTCAGAGCCAAACACACTGAACGCCCGTCTAAAAGGCAGCTATCTTTCCATAATTCGTTTAGCGTGTACAACATCCTGTTTTATGTATTTATTTGACGTTAACATTTTTGTAGTGGTTCAAATAGAAAAATTATTATAAATAGAAAATGCAAGCTGCTTGCTAACCGGTAAGACGCATCGATGACGGATGCAATGTTTGAGATGAGATGATGCAAGGAGTGCTTGTCCAAAAGGGCAGAGGATGCTGAAGGTGAGAGGTTGAGTAGGGAAGAAGAAAGAAAATGCGTCTGGAAAATGTAGAGAGTTTTAAAGTAGGATGCCTCGGAGGTTAAGACTTCAAAAAGACACTGCAACAAGAGTTAAATGTGTTTTACGTAATGAGTGGGGTGGTTGCGAACGTTGTTTTATTTTGTAATGTTCTTTGGATGGATGTTACGCTTATAAAATTAAATTCACTTGTATAGCTAAATAACCTGGATAAATAAACCTTTCAGCATACAAACATTTTAACCTAGACAAATAAAATCTAAATAAAACCACCGAACGATTCAGTCAATCACTGTGCAATTTTATTTTATTTATTTCAATTGATTTTAAGATATTTTCAAAGCATTCTGTCTATGAAACGTTTAAATACAAAAATATAAAAACTTTACTTCTTGAAATTTTTGCTCTTGCTTTGTCAATGTGACTTTTTCCAAAAGTTTTTTAACCTGAAATAATATTTTTAACCTTATTTAATATGTTTGTAGTTCGTTTTTTCGATTTTTCTCACTAAAGTTTTTTGGTGAACGTTTAGTTTATTAAAATTCAAAATAAACTTATCATGCTACAAATAAGGCCATATTTCGATTCCGAATGAATCATCGTCAGTGCTCCTTGTTGTATATATAGGGAAATATTGACTTTGTCAAGATTAACTTTGACGTTGTAAAAATTAACTTTGGTGTTGTAAAATTGAACTTTGATGCGAATTAGGTGTCAGGTTTCTTAATTGGCTGGTCATCTTCTTTGGTCTCCTTTTCTTCATCGATAGCATCATATTCTTCTTTGTCACTATTTACGATGCTAGTTTTTATTACTTCTTTGTTTTCGTTGTTGGTTAAGCGCCGGGTTGGAAGTGAGGTTGTCATTTTTTGTTGTATATTTATTTTTGGTTTATTGATGTCGATTAGGACTGCTTCTGCAATTTTAAGATGCGTGTAGTTGCTGTTCTGGTATATTACTTTGGTGTTGCTGTCGAGGATTTCACGGCTAATTGTGATTGAGTGTGTTGAGTCCAAATGAGATTTGATAGCACCACTCTGTTTATGCATCGTAAGCCTTCTAGTCAGTGAGGTAGTAGTAATCCCGATATATGAGACATGTTGACGTGCACAGCCGTCAAAGGGGCAATTAAATTCATATATTACGTGATTACGCTTTAACTCAGAGTTATCTCTAGGACTGCAGCTGTTTTTCAGTATTAGGTGAGACGTCTTTTTATTGTTGTAATAAATTCGGAGTTTAACTTTACTATTTGGGTTGGTTGGTGTGACATTTTTATTGATGATTCATTCGGAATCGAAATATGGCCTTATTTGTAGCATGAATTCGAAAAATATGTTTATTTTGAATTTTAATAAACTAAACGTTCACCAAAAAACTTTAGTGAGAAAAATCGAAAGAACGAACTACAAACATATTAACGCCAAACATTCGGTAGAATTTATAGAATATTGTAATATATATATATATATATATATATATATATATATATATGAAAATTATTATATTAATAAATATTCCAAAACACGTCCTAATGGTATACTATGGTGTTTGGAGTTACTATTGCAGAGCAATGATGATGACCCTGTGATATTTCAATGATGACCGGCTCGTGTGCATCATTCGTTTATTCATTCACAGTATCACATCAATCATCGCAGGCACAAGATTGCATGCACCACATCACACCACCACATCACACCACCACATCACACCACCACATCACACCACCACATCAAATCTCATCTGACCCTTTCACATTCCTTCCACAACTTCTTCCTGTCAATAGAATGGAACAAGTTTGTGGAGCTCACTCTGCCGATGAGTTCGCAGATGGTTGAAGTCTGGGGCGATGATGATATTGTGTTTAATTTCGGAAGGTGTAAGTTCTTGTTGGCTTCTTGCTGGTAGATCTTCGTATTGTTGTTAGTACTGTTTGTTGTTGCACCGTTTTTGTTTGTGTCTATGCTTTCACTGATGATGTTGATGTTATCAATGGTGTATGTTTTAGTTATAATGTTGTTGTTGCTGCTACTGCTGTTTTCATGTTTGTTGATGTCGTTGATGTTTTTTTTATTACTGTGCGTGCTACTGACAGCCTCACTGTTGTTTCTGTGATTAGTTTCATCATTGCTTTGCTTGTTGCGGTTGTTGATGCCGGATAAAATTTTGTCTTTTTCCTCATCGATGTCACCTTTCAAATCATAATTGTTGAAAAATATTTTTAAAATGTTTTGAAAATTACGTATGTATGACAGTTAAAAATTGTAGCTTGTCGTTACGACGAGAATTGTGAATGCAGGGCTAGGAACATATATGGAACGATTGTGAAGCATCACTACATCCCAGTGAAAGCTGAAAGTGTCGTAGCTTTTTCTTGAAATGATCATTTCTATGTATATTAGAAAAATTACACTGGATCGTTATCAGGCGCTCCTCATTCTTATTAGTTTAAGATAACGGGCATAAAATAATTAGCTAATTAATACTGCGTTTGATATTTTATCGCCAGCAACTGAGAAGGCTAGATTATTTCACGTCAAATCGTCAAATGTCAAAAAAATTGTGAAGCTCACTTGAATCTACGCTGCACGAGGAAGTGATCAGTGACCTGAAAATTGTGTTCTCGTAATAAACCTGGTAGAAAGGCCCATTTTGATAGAAATTGAACAAGTCCACATCTTCTTCTTTGTCCAAAGAATATATTGAACTCTGCATTTAGTAAACAGATTAATAATACGAAAAATAATAACTTGCTTCGGCCAAAAATGTTTACTGATGTTAGAGATAATTTAAAAAAATTAGTTTGGTTAAAATTTCAACTGACGCTTGTATCTTGTTGAAAAGTTAATTGGAAGTTGAGATTCATGTAGAGAGTTGTTCCGTCATCAAAGTTGTTATTGTTTTCATTATTATTTACAAAGTCCATGTTCGTCTGATCGTGATGATTTCTGAAAACAAATAATTGTCTTCCAGTAAAGTTGGCCAGGCAAAAATAAATGTGAATTTTATTCTAGTCGACTAGACTACCTTCTGTCATCCAAAAAATCGTTGTGGGCAACAGAGTGACCAGATGGAAGGTCATCTCTTTTCTCACCATTGTGCAGGGCGTCATCTATTTTCTCCAAATTGGTTGATTCATCCGATAAATTTTTATTTCTGTCTGCAGCTCTGATTTTCAAAATCAGTAATATTAAATTAATAATTATTTTAATTATTATTTTATTATTAATATATAATTATCTACAACGCTAACCATTTTTCTTAATACTATGATAACTAATTTGACTGCCCACCATTTCCAATTACAGCTTATCTATTATAATTATATTGTGATCAACGATTTTGAAGATATGTAATTAGCCATTATTATTTCTAAGACGTTTTCATGAGTTATTTGGTTTAACTAGTTTTTAAAATGAATCCGAATTCTTAATTTGTTTAAAATACTCTGAAACTTACTTCTATAAATATCTGTTAAATTAATGAAACACAACTATTTTTGTCAACGTTTCATTGTCATGAAACAAACTTTCGCTTATTTTAATTTTAACGATGCATACAATCATAAAAATTTGACATTTATACTAAACTTGTCTTGTCTCAAACGAAATTCTTCAAACATATAAAAACTAAAAATCAATTAACTCCAACTTATCTCATTATATTGGAAACAGAATTCTTAAATCTTCAACACTTTCCAAGTTTTAATCTCAGTTTGCAAACCAACTTATAAATTTCTTATTTTAGACATTAAGGTCAAATAATAAAGTCTGCTATGTTTTCAGAAAAATTACCATCAATTCTCAATCGCCGGTTTAATTTTTAAAATTTTCGCTGGTTTTTATATATCAACAAAAAATAATGTGTGCGATTATGATACTCAAGACAAACTTGGCTTCAATTCTTGTTTCCAATAGGTTGTTTCCAAAATCTGTTCCATAAAATCATATAATAAATTTATGAAAAATTAATACATAACACAAACGCACACACACTCGCACACACACACACAAACTCAGATATTTTTTAGAAATTTAATATTATACATATTGTTATACTTTATTAAAATATTTAATTAACAATTTTTTTAAACCGTTTGATTCATTGTTTTTCTTTGAAGAAATTTCTTCATTTTCAGCAATTTTTGCTTTGTTGAAACATCTTGGAGTCGGCACTGGAGGTTTAGGAAAACGAACAACGTGATTGGCTTCAGTGCTCATTCTTCAAATTCAAAATATAAGCTCCGATCTGAGTTTTCTTTCAATCAATATGCAAGATTTATGGATGCCTTATAAATGTAACGAAATAAATAAATATTCTCGCTTAACGGAGCAATAACTTTTGTTGGCGTTACTATATGCTAGCAGCAAATTTTGTATAGAAAAATATGCCATTGTTAAGCTGTGCAATTTATAAAGAGTACCTGACGGTTTAGATTTTAAAATAAATACTTCCTTTTAACAAAATTTTATTTGATCACTGTAAGATATTTCAGCTAAATAAAAATTTAATCGATAAAACAAGTCTTTGAGAAAGAAAATGTACTAAGTATATGTTTAGTGAATGTTCTGAGGTTTTCCAAGTGCAGATAAGGGATCCAGCATTGCTCTGTGATTTGTGAAATCATAATGAAATTAACCCAATAGGGAAATACAAGAAATAAAATCAGGTATACATGAATTGAAACTTACAATAATCTATGACATGGAAACAAGAGCCAACAATGTAGAGACTGCACTTAGAGTAACAAATCGAATTAATAAAACTAAGAAAATAATTATACCTATTAATAAAAATAAAAAGTGACAGCATTTTAAATAAACCTGGATAAACTAGAGCAAGTTGACCAGCTAGTATATTTAGACAGTGTTTTACTTAGTAACAACAATTGCTTAAAAGAAATCAATCAAAAAATAGCTCTCGCATGAGGAATATATAGAAGAGTAAAAATGTTTGAAATTGTGTGCGACAGAAAAATGTTGGAAATTAGTTGAAGGCTGTCGGATCGCAAATCCTAACGATTAAAACTAACGATCGTCAAAACAAAGAAAAACACCATAAACTAACGAAGTGATTCGCGGGGGCCATATAAGAAAAAACTACGATATGATTCTGATAGGTATTCGGGCTGCTGATGAGTCTCCGGTAGGGACGAAACACGTGTTCTGCATATCCAAACGAATACTATTCTTATCTTCTTTTCACTTCCGCTCACTGCTCTTCTTGGTTTGGTGTTCTCATACATTAGCGCAACCGCAACAAGGCAAAAACTAAATCATAAGAAAGCAGCAGGGACTCATATTTGAAAAATACCCGAAAATAGATTAATTAAATTTGTACTAATAATGATGAAGAGAAACTTGAAAAGTAAAATCGGAAAACTTTCCATGAAATGAACAGAACGAAATGAATAGACGGGTGTGGGAATACTGATCTCAATAAAATTGGCCAAAGGTATAAAAGGTTTGAAAATCTTCATAAAAAGGTGTTGACATCAACGGCCTAAACAGACCCTGAAAAATTGAAGAGAATTGAATAACTGCTGAATTTGGGAAAACAACGCAATAAGCATTTGCTAAATATTTTCTGAATAGAAATCCGAATCTAAAATGACACTCGGAAAAAAGTTGAATGAATTGTTGATGTCGCTCGAATACAGTTGCTTACAAAACGTTAAATATAATAAATTCAAAGACAGGAGATCAATCTCGGAATTAAGTTTGTAATTATCAGACGCTTGTTCAGCTAAACCAAAAATCATTTAGCGAAGCCAATGTGAACAAAGTTATAGAATTATTTCGTTGATAGACCTCTTCCTGTTCACCTCGATGTTGGCTTAAGGAACCACCATGCTAGTATTATAATATATAATTTAACGTTGCTACCTGAAACTAAAATTTACAACTGTCTATTTAAATTTTTAACTAAATTTTTAAGCATTTACTTTTTTTTCAATTGTACACTCATTATTGTTTGCCTTTTCCGCCAGTATTTCTTAGTACTGTTTTAAATAGCGTCAAAAATTGAATTTTTATTTTGTATCACTATTCTACTTAGTGTTGCATCGAAAAATTTACTTTCAGTTCAGTAACTTGTATCTGTCCGCATAGACGACGCGTGTACATTAGAACATACATGCAAGAACCGAACAAATGACGCTTTCGACCTGTACTATTTGGTAGAGGCAGCTTTCGAACCAGGTCATATCGCCTTTGTTCGTTGAGAAAACAGTGAAGAACACGGCATTCCCACTGACCGAATTATCCAGACGACCATTTTCATTGCTGCGAATTGCTCCAGTAGCAGCGTACTACTAAACTGACCGGCATCAGGTATCGTAAGACCAGTTATTATATTTCAATTATCCTAAACCAAATGTTTGCCAAACTTTTTACCACACGAATGAAATTCTACTAATATAATAGATGTTTCAATGTAATTCAGCACACTTTCACACCAATGTTTATTAAACAAAAGTTATTAAGCTACCAAAAACTATGTACATAAATACACACACACGCGTAAAATGAACCGCTATTTTGTTCAATAGATAGACAAACGTATGTATTGCCGCGTATTTCGATAAAATTATGTACATGTATATATATACGCATACATATGCAATAAATGCTCAAAATAAATAAAACGGAAATAGTCAACAGCACAGAGATGATGGCAGAGCAGCCTGTCTCACGCAACCACACGACCTCGCTCTCCCGTTGGCACACACACACACATATACATTATTATACAGCCGTATACTCAATAGGTGCAAACATTTAATTGGAACCGTAGAAATCCAAACACATTTCATGCACGTGCATAATGAAAAATGAATTAGCTAATTTTCAATTGAATAAGTTATATTAAAACCTAAATTTCCTTTTCACATTTAGTCACAACTTTTATTTCCGAACTGCTGCACGCACACACAAACACGAACACATGCATTATATATTTTTTGTGCACTGACAGATGCATAATCCGTAACATGAAATAAATTTACATCAAAAATTCAAATAAACTGGCATCACAAAAACAATGTTACATTTTTAATTTGCGAAGACGAGGTCCTCGCAAAGAAAACAAAAATAATAAAAAGCAAAAATAATGAGCGTGTACATGTACGAAGAAAATATTTAACAGATGAATGAACGATTGAATGAACGAATGTGAGAAGCGACAGTCAATGTGAGTAAATGTGCGTATTTGCAATATGTACAGGAGGAGGAGGAGGAGGAGGAGGAGGAGGAGGAGGAGGAGGAGGAAGAGGAGGTGGTTGTTTAAGTAACAAACTGCTAGTTTAAGCAGATTTTATCTACAAGATGAATGAAAAATCAGTAGGTAGGCGATGCCAACGTTCGCTAGAATATGACTTCGTATAATGTGGCTTTCTTATCTCCAGAGCCGGTAACAATGAATTTGTCGTCGATGGATATGTCGCTGCATAGTACTGATGATGACTCTTTTGACTGTGTGAACATTTCGTTTCGTAATAATTTAGCATCACAGGGTTCAAACATTTTGCCAATTTATTACGAAGTACATATATCAGATATGCACAAATAAAATAACTTTACACAAGTTTAATAAACCTAATGTTGGCTACCATTAGTTAAATATTGTTTAATCTCTAAAAAATTACAAAATGGAAATAAAAACAAGGAGTAAATGAGACCTGGAATATGCTAGCCCCATAAGGAGTTCTCCATGCATTCAGTAGGTTGTCCTTGCCTGTGCTAACGAACCACTTGCCGCAATATGCAAACTTTAATGAAAGAACGCAACTTTCGTGCAGGTGAAGCTGATATTTGTCAGGTTTCGAGTGATGCAAGACTTCAACGTTGCTGCTTTCCATACTGTATGATTCAATGGCCATTTAAAAATTATTATTTCGGTAGTTGCATTGATGAAGACAATTTAACAACTATAACAATTCATGGAAATTATGTAAAAATAGCAACTATTAAAAACTTTTTACGCAGTTTATAACTACTTTTAATTTTAGATGGCTTACATTTATCGATCGAAAAATTATTATTTTTACAAAAAGAGCAGTCTAACAAATCAGTTTAATAAGCAAAACTAAGAAAACATTTGCTGAAAGCAAAAGAAAGGACATCCTGAAATAAATAACCCGCCCAACAGCAAATAAATAACTCACCCAACTGCAAGCCACTCCCCTGTGGGACAGTAACCGAGAGAAAATATCTGAGAAGCGAAATCATGCTGCTGTAACTGTCGACCTTCTCTCAAATCCCACGATCGAACTGTGTTGTCGAGACCTCCTGTCCACAATTTCGAACCATCTGGAGAGATGTCTATGCAACTGGCGCCATCTGTGTGACCTTGGAACTGTCTGAAATCATTGAAAATATAATAAAATGATTGGAAAATTGATCGAGCAGATTTTATAATAAGTATTTAGAGCTTGTTTTAAAAAAGTCGTTGTTCTTATACTTCTAACATCATTATTCTAATATTATTCTATAACATTACCATGTAACATTATTCTATAACACTACCATGTAACATTATTCTATAACATTACCATGTAACATTATTCTATAATATTATTACCACGTAACATTATTCTATAATATTACCATATAGCAATGACAAACGGGGCAGCATTATTTTGAAATGCGCATGTTCACGTGTGCCTACAAACCTGACGAGTGTTTGATTATGCAAGTCCCACACGGTTATGTTGCCATCGCTGCAACAACTGAAACACAAGTTGGAGTCTGGACTGATAGCCAGGGCGTAACAAGCAGGAGCGGCCGACGTCAGTTCCGCCTTTATTCGAGGTGAAGACTGTTGAAAAAGTAAATTAGTAATTAAGTAGTAAAAGTAGTAAGTAGTAAAACTAGTAATATAATTAGAAGAAAAAAATTTAGAAATTTCGGATGTGGTTAAAAATCAATAGAATGACTTAGATGGTTAGGGTTAGGGTTAGATAGAAACCAATTATAACCAACGTTAAATAATAAAGATAGAAAGTTCCGTTAAAAAACATACGCTTGCTAGGTCCCATATGGAAATGGTGCTTGCCTCCCCTCCCACTACCAGGGTTCGACCGTCTTGCAACAACTTGACGGATCGTATGTAGTTGTCTCGTTGCTGAGGGTTGTCGTTATTCAATAATTTATTCATTCATTCGGCAGATCACCAAATATCATCTCAAGAAAATTAATGCATTTAGTACCGGTTGGCGATTAATGAGGCGACCATTTGATCATAGTATGTTGAAATCTAACTCATATTGAATGAAGTCTGGCTTATTTAGGCTCCTATTGTTCAAATTATTGAAAAAATAAAAAATGAGAAAGAGAGAGAGAGAGAGAGAGAGAGACAAATAAACGAGAAGGAGAAAGAAAGTCGCTCTTATTTGTAAATAAAAGATCATTGAGATTATTTATCAAATCGTTTTCAGGCTATTTACAGAGAAATTCACTGCCAGAAATTATTACAATTTTAAACAAATTGCAGGAAAATACTGTAAAATGTGATTGGCCAGCAACTGTGAGGATATAAAAACTGACAGCCTCGAAAAAATATTGCGCTTAGATTTTAGATAGCAGTCAGTAAAACGGCTTCGAAAGATGTGAGAAAACAAGAAAAACATGAAAAAAAAAAATAATGAGAATGAATAAATAAAATGTGCGCTCAGTACCTACCGCACGTGAACAAATGTAACCAGAGGAGAATCGAAGAGACGGAAACAAGGATGCAACCTGTTAGACGCATTCAACCGAATACAGACGCAGAAATAAAAACATAACGATAGCAAATGTTTGTATAAAAATTGCAACCCGGGACATTCAGGAATAATTTAATTAATAAAACTGTCGTCCGGTCACGTCCAATAAAATTTCAACATATTGACACCTTGGATCACATCAAATGAGCTGATAAACAAATACAAGCACTGTGTATTTGTTGTTCAGTGAGTGTGTGATTGATTGTTTGATTGATTGATTGATTGATTGATTGATTGATTGATTGATTGATTGATTGATTGATTGATTGATTGATTGATTGATTGATTAGGCAAGTGCAGATGAGTACTGTCATTTGTTTAATTTTTTCAATCATAAATATTATTTATCATTAACTAATTAATTGGTTAAATTATTTGTTTGTTTATTTACGTATTCGTTTTCCACCTCGCTGCTTTTATACTCAATAAATTTGATATTATATTTTCTATGTAGCCCATTTTGGTCTGTTTATTTTCTTCATTTTATGACATTTTCCTTTTGCACGTTGCAATAAATTCTGCGTCTGTCAGTCTGATTTTCAAGAGAACAAATTTAAAAATAAAAGAGTATTTGGATGAATAAATGTGAGTGTGTGAGTGAATTGGAGCGAGAGAATGAAGAATGAAAGCTATAGAGACAACAAGAAGTTGATACTTTTGGAGGCTGTCAATTTTTATAAAAAAATTATCATCGCTCAAAGGTTTAAACACGCCCGATGAATGAGCCCATTTAAAGATGAGGGATTGAAGTTGAAGTGAGGAAAGTTACAAACTATCACAAAATGTACATTGAAATTCAATGATCACATCAAAACTCACCAAGTGTCATAGTTCAGGCATTATATAACACAATATAGACAACAATAACGACAGTAATACAACAACAACAATAATAATAATAATAATAAACCATATCAATATATAAATAACAGTTGATAAAATTCTCTAAAGCAAATGACAATGAATCAGATGAGTGGAGCATAAAATGTATGGAAGTTCTTGAAAAGATATAAAGTGCATGCACTCAAATGTAGGAGTCCTCGAAAGAAAAATTGAATGTTAATGTTAGCACCAATTGAAATATATTACAACTACAATATAAAGTCAAACTCTCTTGCGTGAACTCTGTGAAGCCCTTCAAACACACTTCAAGATAAGTAACGTAAGGCAGATCGTTTAAATAGGCGAAAAGTATAATTAAAGAATCTTAGAATCATAAAACTGAATTGCATTGACGAGCCAGATAGCCAACCACGCACTTGACTAAACTTGAAATCAAAATTTTTTCAATGTGCTATCAATCAACAATCCTGATATGTGTGTATGTGTGTGTTCGTGTATGTGTGTGTTCGTGTGTGTACGTGTATGTGTGCATGTGCGTTGGTCGTGATCATCAGCTGATCACGATCATCACTACATTCCAGTTAACTCCTCAAAGTTAGCAGATCAACTCCCACTCTCGCTTAACGTGTTCCTTGTCATAAGGTAGGCTGCACTGCCATAACGCATGACAAGTGTAACTAATACATGTCGATCCTTCAAAAACATCAAAATATACAAATACAATCAATGCAATTGGGATTGGGCGCGCTTCATATAAAATGTTTAATTTAATAAATTATAAACAAAAAAATTTGAGTGATAAAGACAAGCTTAAATAAACTATGAACAAACATGAAATTAAAAATGATTTATTTTATCCTCAAAAAGATGTTTCCTTTTCAATGGAATAACAACACAAGAAAAAAAGAAGCCATCATTTGTGTATTTTGTGAGCAGCTCAGTTGTGTCTTGGTTTCAAAAAAAATGAACTAGCCATAAGAAGGAGAATTTTATGAGAAGGTGCAAACATCCGGCGCAACAGGCACTGAATCACAAGATGAAACAAAAAGAATGTTTGTGGTAAGGAGAGATGAAGCAAAAAATTCACCATTAGGTGTTGTTTGACTGGAAAGTTGATGTAATCAGATCAAATAACTGAAAACAAAAGAAAAAGTTTACACAAAACAAACACCACAAGACTAAAATTGTAAAACAATGATTATAGGCAATAACCAGGAAAATAAATTATCAGACAACAGAAAGTGAAAGAAATAAATATACAGTCGAACCGGTTAGAACTTTGAAATTTTTGAAATTATTGCAACAAATTTGATTAGTTAAGTGTGAAGAAACAAATAAATGGTAATTGAGTTCAATTTAAATGCAGCCTGGGGTAGAAATGAAAGAAAGTTAGAGGAAAAAAATAATTTATGTATGGTAAGACAGATGGCGGCCTCTGACATTTGACTGCTGCTGTTTTTTGTTTTTCAAGTTCACTCACAAATGAATATTTTCCTTGAGCCAATGAATAAATAATGAAAATATATGCTAAAGTTAATAACAATTATTCACAAATCTATCATAAATTTGAGCCACTATTGATAATATAAAAAAAAACATCCAAATAATTTCTTCAATGAAATATAGCTTAATTTTCAAACACTGCATAACAGCATATTAATTTTTAGCGACAACTACTCACATTAGACACTTACAACACAAATATCAGTTTATAAAAGAGATGCGTCTATTTATAAGATGAATTGGTCATCTGTGTAACAAGAATGTCCACCCATTTAGCATTTAACAAATCAGTGTCATTCACAATCAACTTTTTCAAATGAGCTCAAGAAGCCCAGGAATGTCATTATCTTTTATTTTTTTTATAAAAAAGTCTCTTAAAGAAAAATTCATTCGAAAAAACGATGCTTCGTGGTACGTTTATCTTTCGTCTATCAAATGTTACAGAAAAATGTTAATGATGATCTAATGTTAATGATGATCTGACGCCGATGAAAATGTACAAACCAAGCAGTCGAGTTGGGTGATGGGCGACTTGCAGATGGGATCTCTGATGTCCCACATCTTCACGCAGCCCTTGCCTCCCGTGTACACGTGTTTGGGCGGGTTGCTGATCGTGACGGCGCACACCACCTCTCCGTGGTTGAGGGTTGTGATCTGTCTGGCGTGGCGAGGAATGCCTGAACCAACGAGGGCATCTGGTGGGAAGGGCACCGGCTGCATCTGACCGTCAGCACTCACGTAAAAAGAGTAGGCCCTGTTGGATCATTTATGATAGATATGAGATTAAGCATAAGAGAGATCACGTTGTACACTGCTTTTTTTATAAAGCTAACAGGATGATTAGTGTTAAAACTACACTCCAGTGCAAACAAACGAAAGTTCTACTAAATTAATTGCGATTTTGTAGCTAGAAGCCCATCTTCAAATTAAAAATGAGCCATCAATTGGATTTTAAAATTGAAAACATAATATGAGCAAGTTTTTAAGTTAATTACCTGAAAAGTGTTGCTGAAAAGCGAGAAAAGAAAACTCATTGTGAAAGAATAAATTTAAATAATAAACTCGCAGAATAAACTTGCACATATCAAATTAATGCCTTTGTTAGCAAATTATATTTTGACAAATTGGTTGCTCCCTAAATGATGGATGAGCATTAAGCACCAAAAAGTTATGAGCACGATGATGATGATGGTGATGATGATGATGGTAGTGATGATGATGATGATGATGGCTGCAGCGTGCAGGATGGTCGCAAACGATGATAGCCTCAGGATAATTATGACGATGGTGATGACGATAGCAACACTAAATGCCTCTTTTATTATCTTTTAATAACGACAGTAAAAATAAAATGAAAGAGCTGCCAAGTAAAAACAATGACACATCAATTATGGCTAACATCATTTCTAACGATTTTCGTTAAGATAAACTGCATCCTTAGCAATTGGAAAATGAGCCGAGCAAAACTAATTAAACTTTATTCTGTCATTATCATGGAAAAATATCATTTAACAAATCAGCCAGCAGAATAAGAACAGAAAATAACTAACGGTTTTCCAGCAAGTCTTGGATCGAACTGTGCCTGGATGAGTGATGTATAAAAATTCATCAACATCAGCAAAATTTTTCAAGTATATAAATAAACTTCACTAAACAAACAAAACAATAAATGCGGATAAAATTTCATAATTTTTTTGAAATGATAAAAAATTCAACTGGTCGGCGAATTAGCTCAGACGGTAGAGCTATGTCTCACGCAGTTAGTACGCGATGGCCTGATTCGAATACCGTCTGTCACAGACTGAAAAAAAGACTATCGTGCTCCAAGGGCGTATGATGCGGTGCTTGCGCGTGCAAACATGATGTGCAAGTAGGTCATGCAGTGTGGGAAGTACGGCCTTTTTGGCACGAAATTATAAAGTATAGAATAACAGGTGAGTAGTTCTGCGTTCTTCTCAACTGCATAACGAAGAACGAAAAAATGTTCAACAGACACGCAGATGATGCAGCATAAGCAAATAATTGATGTTCTTTAAGTATTTTACTTGAGTACGTCACATTTTAACCTCATAAGTTTTAAATATTTGGCTGAATACCGACGAAAAGGCCAAGAAATAATGGGGAAATGATGAACAGAATAACCAGGCATGGATGAATTTGTGTATACATGTATGAATGTGTGTATGTACGTATGTATGAAAAAAAAATGAATGAATGAATGAATGAATGAATGAATGAATGCACCTTGTAACCGCAGCATAAGCACAAGCGTAAACTGAACGAGTATTGGAAACAAGAAACAGAGGTATAGTGCCAGCTGGTCAGTAGCAGTTGTTTGGTCAGATGTAGTGAACTGGTCAGTTGCAGCTACCTGGTCAGATAAAGTGGACTGGTCAGTTGCTGGGTCAGATAAAATGGACTGGTCAGTTGCTGGGTCAGATGAAGTGGACTGGTCAGTTGCTGGGTCAGATAAAGTGGACTGGTCATTGCTGGGTCAGATGAAGTTGGCTCGTCAGTTATAGTTGCCGGGTCAGAAGAAATGGACTGGTCAGACTTATAGGCATTGAATAATAGTTGACCTTCATACAAATGTGTGTGTACTTCTTCGCACACAAACGGTAAATAAATTCAAATAGAATTAATTAATTAAATATTTTGCACATCTACGTAGGCACTGTGTTTTGTTGAAAAGATTCATCTCATCCGTACAACAAATTATGTCAACAATCCATTTCACCCAACCAATTGAAATAACTTTTAAAAATGGAGACTTGACAAGAAGCAATAAAATGAACATTGCACTACTGACTGTACTGCATCAACGACCCACAAGCATGTAATGAAACATAATGTCTGCAAAGCAGTTACACGCATTCGCATCATAATAAATAGAATATTAGGCGTTGTATTCGTGTACGTGTGTGTTGGCAATAGTCTGTGTGTGTGTGTGTGTGTGTGTGTGTGTGTGTGTGTGTGTGTGTGTGTGTTTGCTTGCGTGTATGTTTGTGTGTGTGTCTGTGTGCGTGTATGTGACACAGCATGCATTCGCACAAACAAGAGAACGAATGAAGGGAGAAAACTGGTCTCAGAGGCGAGCAATAACATCGTCATAAGGTTGCATGCAATGAAGAGAATGAATGAAAGAACTGAAATGACGCAAATAAAAGTTAATGTGCATCGATCCGTGGCCTGGAGTCGATAAAATGTGAAACATCATAGATATAAATAAACCGCATCATCGTGTGTGCGTGTGCGTGCGTGCGTGTGTGTGCGTGCGTGTGTGTGTGTGTGTGTGTGTGTGTGTGTGTGTGTGTGTGTGTGTGTGTGTGTGTGTGTGTGTGTGTGTGTGTAGAGAGTCCTTTGTGTTTAAGCGATGCTTTCCTCGTTACCGAAGTGTAGGAAAGCCGTATTGGTTCAGTATTTAGTGCAGCGAAAATTTGAAGTAACAAATGTACATGGATGTTGCAGGGGAGGGGGTAGCGATTGTAATGCATGCGTCTGCGCTATGAAGAACAACGTGCCACCAATAACTTTCAGAGACAATGCTGAACCACCACCACCACAACAACAACTGAACAATAACAAACTAAAATGCAGCATAATTTTTGTAAACAATCTTAACAATTTTAAAAAATTTTCTGCAAAGCTTTTCGTTGTTAAGAGAAAAAGATGAAAGTAGGAATCTGAAGAAGAGAAGAACAAAAAAATGATGAATGGCAAAACAAATTAGTAACAGAGAGGATCAAATGAAACGACAGACGCTGAGCTGAGCGGTGCAACAAGTTGAAAGAAGGGCTCTAACGATAAATAATGTAAACTCCATAAATCTTATTTCCATAAAATATGAAGCTATTTTTAACTTGAAAACTTTAATAAAGATGAAAAAGAATAAAGAACGTACCAGGGAGCTTCGAGCGAATCCAGCCAACTGTCCCGGTGAGATCGGTGGACCAGAAAGTGGGGGGAGGAGGTCCCTGCCCAACTCGGGAGGAATCATGTGAGGGAGGAATTGAGGGTAGGCCCCTGGTGGTACTGTTCATTATCACGCAAGTAACATTCACCATTATATTAATTAGCATTATATTAGACGTTATATTTACCAACCAATTCCATTTAACATTCAACTTGATATTATTGCACCGTTGGCATTAGATAATGATACACAAATAAAAGAAATCAATACATCACAAATGAAAGCACAACATTACGATAACGTAACGAGAATGCAAGCAAGCAACACGTTTATGAAGCGAAGAAAAGCTGTTGAGAATATCTGATTTCATCGATAAAAGTCGATAAGAAGAAAAAGAGCAAACGCTTATTCTCGAGTTAATATAACATATCAGTGATATGCGATTGAGTCGCACATACTATAGAGTTGATGTGATCCTATACAGATATGATGATTATACATACGTATCATATCACATCATATCACCTGGTGATACACAGATGCAAGCAGAAATTTGATCATTACACAACTGCAACGAAATCAAATCGATATTTATTGAACAGATGTCAGAAAACGACGTTTACAGGCGTTGTTATTATCTGAAAGAATACACTGCAGAGTATAAAAATTACTCATCTGGCGCAACGTACCGGCATCAAAAACAAATTGTACCACTGCAGAACGCTAATTGCATTTCTAAAAGCCACAGCTTAAAAACTATGCATATCACATAATATCAAAAAAAAGTGTTTCTATTTATCTATCTAGTGTTTCTACCTATCTACCTACCTATCTACCTACCTATCTACCTATCTGCCTACCTACCTACCTACATACATACATACCTGCCATCTATCTATCCACCTATACAAAAAAAAAGAATTAAATAAAAAAACAAATGGAGAAACGAACGAGCAAAGAAACAATATACAAACAAAACGAACCGAAGAAATAAATAAATAAATGAAGGAAAGAAAGAAAGAAAGAAAGAAGGAAGTAAGTAAGCTAACAGAGTGAAGGTGGCATGACCGGCTTGGGAATGGGGTGAGGTTTAGAGAGGGTACCTGAGGGAAGGCTGTTGTTCGACTTGTTGACTGGTGTGCCTGGTTTGTCGTTCTGTGGGTGGTGTGGATATTCGTTTTACAAATCCAATGGAATCAACAATGCAAATTTTTTTAAATATATTGAAGAATATTCAGCCAGCATCCGCCAAATTTTTTGATCAGTTAACAAGCATATAACATTTAATAAGCTGTTAATTTATCAATTCAATTGAAATAGATTGTCAAACCAGTTGGGATTATAATTAATAAAACTTGTTAGCCAAAGAAAAATCCTAATAAATGTTAAACTATTAAGAAGACCACACACACTGAAGACAAGCGACAAAGCAGCGTTGAATCATCAAAGCAACCAACCTCTCTCATTTTGTTGCTGCCACTGCTGCTAGCTCCATTGTTACCACTTCCAGACGCATTTGAACTCCGTGATGACGACATTTCGTTTCGCATTCTTGGAGACGAACTCTCGCGTTTTAGAGGCTTGTCTGGGCCGTTCTTCCGCGGAGATCGCTCGCCATTTACTGGAGATAACTGGACAGTGAATAAGTAATTGTAGTCAGTCGGAGTGAATAAACAAACAAACGAACAAACGAGCGAACGAACGAACGAACGAAAGAACGAACGAGCGAACGAACGAATGAGTAAAATGTATAGTAATTGATCAAACAGTTGACGGCGGTGATATATTTATTAAAAATAATTTCACCGGGAGACGACAATGGCCATTTAAATAGTGCTGTCATGATCATTAAAAGTTCTCATTGAGAAAAATTCTTTCTTCTCAGCTGCACTAGACTAGCGATTGACAGCTTAAATGATATCAAAGAACAACGAACGACAACAATAACATTTTAGTGAACAGCTGGTATCAAGCAGGCTTATTTGATTTAATTACTCTTATTTTCAAAGAAAAAAATTTTTTTTAAAAGTGTTTTACAAAGCAATAAATGCTATCAATATATTTGTGCTGCCAAACAAAATACACACATCATTTAAAACCAACAGTGTCAAATAAAACCCGTAAAAGGCAGCAGATAAAAACACGCGCGCGCACATTACAGCACACAAGCAGTCACAACAACAGCCATGGAAAACGTTCTTTTTATAAATAGATAAAAATTTAAACCCAAAAAGGTAAAAGTAGCAGCAGTATTGTCAATTAAAAAAAACTAAAACTTATATCCTTTACTATCGGTGGGACGGACCGGAATCGATCCCCGCACCACCAGCCACCCATAACTCCTAGGAAGACCAGCTCAAGCAGACGACGCCATAATCCAGCGACCTCTCTACCCCTCATAAAAAATGTAACATTTTAAATGCTGCACTTCTGTGTGCTTCGTTTGATTTGCAGAAAGTTTTTTCACAATTAAGCTTGATGACACAAAAATTTGAATTCATAAATAAATTTTTAATTCATGTTAAAATTTTATAGTTAATTTTGTGTCGCGGGCATAGGGACATTTTGTCTTCGCCCATGTTTTTTTCATAATAATAATAATAATAAGGATTTAAGAAAATAGCTGATTGAGAAACAAAATAATCATCCTCATTAACAAATGATCTGATCATTAAGAAAATAATTGGTCCTAATTAGGAAAATGATAGATCCTAATTAAAAAAATAAATGATACTCAGTTATGAAAATAATTGACTTTATTAAGCAGATAATGGATGCTTATTAATATAATGAATGGTACCTATTAAGAAAATAACTGATCCTCGTGAACATTAACACAATAACTGATCTACTGTGACAGAATGTGTCAGGACATGTCCCTTTAGAGAGAATATTTAAACAATCTATCAGAATAAAGCGATGTCGATGCCATAAAAGAGAAGGGGAGCTTCAATAGGCAAATTTAATAGCAGCATTAAAACATTCCGCCACAATGTAATCAGCTAACAAGAGATAAATAAATGAATGATCATCGAGAAAATAATTAAACTCCACACACACACACACACACACACACACACACACACACACACACACACACACACACACACACACACACACACACACACACACAAGCCATAGATAAAAGTTAATGCATGCAGACAGCTAGGCAGGATAATTACACGATAAGAAACGCTTGACATTATGTTTAATTAAAAAGGTAAAAATGCAGCAGGCCTCTTTTCATCCACCTAGCGTTATAGAGAGTAATTAAATTCATTAAGCAATTAGAACAGGTTCACAGGCTATTTATTAACATCATCAAATTGTCGTTGTAAATCCCATAATTGGTCTCCACTTTAATTTTTTTTAAATAAGGATTCAAACAACATCGCCACTTTCATCATCACCATCATCATCATCAGTCATCATTATCATCACAGCCTTCATCGTCAACATCTTCAAACAGGTTCATTTGAAGACCATCACCACCACCACCACCATCAAATCATGGTCACCAACCTGACTTGCATCGTCAACCACCAGGTCCTGATCACTCTTCTCACCATCACTTTCTTGCTGCTGCTGCTGCTGCTGTTGATGTTGTTGCTGCTGTTGATGCTGTTGTTGTTGCTGCTGCCAATCAATTGAAACAACACAACCAAAATAAGCTCAACTTGACTAAACTTTCTTCAAATATCAATACTTGCCTTACATATTTCTAATCATAAGCAAATTAAAACAAATTTTTAAAAAAGGAGGCTGACTTTATCTTCAAATTTCTTCCTCTTTGATGGTTCGTTGCTGATGTCAGGTGACCTGTTGCTTGACCAATCATATTTGCGATCGGGTGATGTGGAATTTCTCTGCACGATAAAGTTAATGTGGCTCTCATTACGATGACATTGCAAGTTATTTAAATCAACCAGCATATCATTCAAAATAATTTAAATTTGTTAAAAAAGGTTTGAGGAAGTAAAGAAGTAAATTAAAAAGTATGAAAATAAAATTTAAAAAAAAATAAACTAACATGTCTGTCTGCTGTGATTAATGGACGAGGAACGTGAGATGCATTAAAAAAATATGTTTAGCATTAATTTCACTTGCAAAAATAAATTTTCAAAACATTTGTTCAACAAATTTTCATCAAATGAGAAAAAATTACTGTAAATAGTTTTCTAATTAACAGTTTTATGATAATGAATGACATATGTTATGTAAACATGAGAAGTTATCATGCAACGCAATGCAAAATGTAAATGATCATCAGCCTAATCGATCCATCTCACTGAATGTTTACATAGATAGGACAACCACATTCTACATCGTAGTAGTAAGTCATCGTTATCGCATTATCATCATCATCATCATCGTCGGTTATCTTTATCATCGATCACCATCATTAAATTTTCATGGTTAGGAGATATGAACATTCAACAATCAGCATTAGAACAGCCTTCATCACGCCAACAGACACTTTCCCTTGAAGCAATAACTCTTCAAATCCCTACATGCACTGAATTGAAGGCGGACTAAGAAAGGGAAACCTTGATTAATGTTGCTTCATAAGGCCAGCAGGTCCATGAATATTGCATGAAATGATCTCAATAACGTAAAACATTCAAAAAGTCTACTTGAAACCAGTGCCTCATTCTGCTCATAAAACTAATTACAGCACACAAATTCTTGAGAAATATAAACTTTTGTGTTTGTTGCTAGGCGTGTATCAGCAACCACAGTGTTGCAAAGTTAATATCATCCTAATTCTATATAAAATCTTTCCGATGTTGTGTGTAGAGCAAAAACTTTACACAAAGGATAATGTAATGCATGATGATATCGCGTTGCACAAAAACTTCCACAATGTAAAATGTAAAGTAAAACCAAACGCGGTTGAATATATTCCGCTGTCTAAAAACTAGAGAAATTGAATTGAAGAAATAATGCATAAAGAACATAGAATATAAAAAAGAAGAAATGTAAATTTAACGTGTGGTGCATAGGATGATCGAAGCCATCAATAAAGCAATATCAATCCCATTATTTAAACATTCGAACAAGAACATTCAATTGAAACCGAATTTACAAAACTCAGATAAAATAGATAGCATAGTTTAAAAGATAAGTTTCTTTTAGACAATTTTATTCCGAAAATGTAAATAAACTGATGTTGTTTGTTTAAAAGAAATGTTTTTGTTTCCTTTTTATCAAACTTCTAAACAGTTCTTGTAAGAACAGCTTCTTACATTACGCTGTAGAATAACACATTGCTTACATGAAAGCAACAACTTCGTCAAACAAAACATGATGCTTCATCGCTAAATAGAAATGGAAAACTGATCATCTCGAGGAAGAGTTACAGCACATACAACCGCACAAAAAAAAACATACAAACAAATGTTAAGAACGTGAACACGATGAACATGAAGAAAGAGAATATAACACGGAGAACTACAGAAAACAAGAGCACGGAGAATATGAGCACAAACAACACGAACATGAAGGGATTCTATACAGATTGAAATTGAAATGTTATTTCCTGCCTTTGTGAGTACTGGCTTGCAGAAATGAACAGATTAAAAATTTAATAGCATCAGAGGGAAGATCTTAACAACAATCACAGAAAAATATGATATAAGAAATCATTAGATAACAACTGACTTTTATTTTGCTGTATGCCGCTGTGTGTTTGCGTATCTGTTTGTGATGGCTTACGTGCGAACAGTTTCAAGGTTGGTACGTCGGTGTGATTCAAAATAATAGAACCAGAAGAAATGCATAACATGTATGTACATTTCAAAGTTGTTTGTTTGCATTGACGTAAGAAGAACATGCATAAATAAATAGAATGCAATGCAATGAAGACGCAGCATGGCTTCACTGTTCGCCACACCAATGTTTTCAAATGTAGTTTTTCTTCTTTTTCGATTCACAATTTTATTTAAATTTACAGTTTTCTTAATTCACCATTTTTTCAATTCATCTCACCATTTTTTTCTATTCGGGTTAAAATTGCCGCTCAATAAACTTGAAGCCGAAATTATTTTAAAAATCAAAAATTTAGCATTTCAACCCCATCACATTTATCTCGGTATCATCGACTGATTAAATTTATTGATGAATAAAGTTTTATATAAAAAACATACGTGGCCATTCCGTTCAATGAAATTGAAAATAATGATTATCATTTTATTTTCTTATCGTCTTGCACCAAAAAATAACAACTGATTTTTTAATCCGTCCAATTTTTTAATATTTTTAAATAAACGGCGTCTGAAATATTAAGCTGCGTTGTTGTGTTTTGTTGTATTTTGTCATGTTTTGTTGCGTCATGTCATGTCATGTCACCTTCAGAATGTTTAGTGCATATACAAAGTTATAAATTTCAATTTGAAGTTTCAAACAATTAAACAAATAAAAAACAACAAATTTTAAGTGCATACATTTTTTTGCAAAGAATCCACAAAGTGCGTATAATTCTTCAAATATGTTTTGAATATATGCAGAACCATTTATTCACTTTATGAATTTGTATGAAATTTGCCTTAGCATCAGGTGTATCAAATCTGCGCTTGTTTAAACAAGTTCATGGTGCTAATTGGAAACTGTTCTAAATAAAAAATTAGACGTGTAAATGTGGAGGCTCACGAACCGGCAGACTCAACATCCATGAAAAAGAAAAGAAATTCTGGCGACAACATTTGAACTGTTTCAGTTTAAGTTGTGGCAGGCTGAATGTTTGGAAGTTGAAGTCCAAATAAAAAACAAACATCTAAACATTCTGGTCGAGAGCCTTCATATAAGTGAGGAATTCCATATCAGTATGTTGAGAAATACAAAATCAAGTCAAATTCGTTAGATGAATGAATGAATGAACGAACGAACGAACGAACGAACGAACGAACGAACGAACGAACGAACGAACGAACGAACGAACGAATGAATGGATAAACTATTGAAATAAAATATACAAAACTCGGACGAATCCACAAACAAAATTTGAGCAAAAATGTAAGTTGCCTCAAAGAGAAGAATAAAGAACAGTGAAAGAACGTGACTGGTAATGTTAGGGAAATAATGAAGAACCCTCAAAGGATCTCTTATAAACATGAAAAAGAAAAAAAAAGAAGAAGAAATGAAGAAGGAGAAAAAGAAGGAGAAGCATGGAAGATGGTAGATAAGAAAAAAACCTATGCGATGTGATGTGACTGATCTGCATTCATGAGAGTGTCGTTGGTTGGTTGTTGATTGGAGATGAGAAAATAATAAGGAGACCTAGAAAACAACGCAACGGATGAAACACCAAAGTCAAATATTTAACAATGATGTCGTGGACTGTGTAAGCAGCAACTGCGCAATGTAAACAGGAAAAAACTTTATTTTGGATCTCAGCAATGAAATTTGCACAATTGTTCAACCTAAGACATTTAGTTTGATTCTATGAAACTCAAGATTTTGTAGAAAATGCAAAAAATAGTCAAAAAATAAGAAAAATAAGTTGAAATGCAAAAACGAGTGAACCTTTCTCTTCCTTGACATGAAGATGGCTTGAACTCGGCAAGCGATTCATCATGTTGTTGGACGTCGTACCGTTGCCTGGAAGAGCAGAGTTTGGATGAGGAGGAATGGGTAGGCTGGGCAGGTGGCCTCCAGTCAGTGGCAGGTGAGGGGCTTGCATCTGCTGCAAGGTCAAAATATCAACATCATTTTTTTTTATCCGCTAATAAAATTTATATATTTTGTAATAATGTTTATTATATTAATTATTTTAATACAAGACATACAATCATTTGAAATTGGAGTCATTTAAAAATTATTTTAAAATAATTTTCCAGCATGGGAATAAAAAGTTTAAATCCATCGCTACAACAAGACACTACAGTTCATCTCACGGCCGGCTATTTTAAAACACCACTCAAGTTTCCAATGTATTAATTTGCCCTGAAGCAGGCTGTTTTCAAATGGTCCCATTACAAAAACAAGGCAGGCGCCCGCACGCACATCTAATGCTAGATCGCTCCTCACCATCATTGCCTCCTATTTATTTCAACAATTGTTACTTCTTGCTTGCAGAACTGATTTGCGGGTGATAAACAGATACGCGATATCTGCAAACATCAAATGTTTGAATTCCATCAGAGCATCACAAGCCCTCCATTATAAATATTTACATTCAGACGCATGAAAACTCCAGCTTCGTATGTTTAGTCCATGTAAACAAATAAATGAAAACATTTTTAATACAAACTATGTAGTGCTTCTCTTGGTTGAATAGATAATAAAACTTGTGCTTATAGAAATATGCATCATCGTAATCGTAGTGGAAGAAAAATTGCTGGAATATTCTGAGCAGAAGAAACATAATAATAATAACAACAACAACAACAACAATAATAATAATAATAATAAAATAAATAATAATGATCGGTACATTGCAGAAGAGACGGATGAGTAGTGTAGAGAGAGCGGTGCAGCACACTGGAGTGAAGATCAAAAGTTAATGAGAAGGAATGGAAAGAATAAATTGCTGGAATGCAATCATGCTACTTACCAGAGTGGCGGAGTCGGTCAGAGTCGGAGAGAAACAATTACATTTACCAAATTTAAGTGTTTTTAAAGTATTTGCATTTAGTAATAATTATAAGATGGAAGTATGATTCAAAAGTTTAAAAAATTTTCTGGAATTCGAAACCTGGAGTCTGAGTAGAATTTTTTTAAGTATATTTTTCATTCGACTTACTACTCACAATCGATAGTACCTCCGCCGTCCATTACGTTCAACAAACAAAACTGACCAGTTAGTTAGTGACTGTAAATATTAACGAAGGTCAAACAAAGTCTTTCGATTCATTTCATCATCCAAAACTGCTTAATATTCAACTAAAAATATTACAGAAAAAGATTAGCGAGAATTATTATAAAAATACTAGAGCAGCATGTGACTACATACATTACAACAGCACCACACTATAATAACTTCAAAGAGTCGGCATGATTGCTTTTGTAAAATATAATCTCTGCATGTAAGTAAGTACATGTCCCATCAACTCATAAAAGACGAACAGTAATGCACTATAAAAGATTGTCTTGAAAGTTAATACATGGTGTCGTCGTCTTTGTCATGTTTTTGCTTGTTGTGAGTTGTCGATAATTGATGTTGCTTGTTGATCATTTCAGATCAGTTATTAATCCTGATGTAGGGTCATTTTGTAGCTGCCAACATTTTCTCAAATATTGTTTGTTCTCAATCAATCAATCAATCAATCAATCAATCAATCAATCAATCAATCAATCAATCAATCAATCAATCAATCAATCAATCAATCAATCGTTCAATCAATCAATCGTTCAATCAATCAATCGTTCAATCAATCAATCGTTCAATCAATCAATCGTTCAATCAATCAATCGTTCAATCAATCAATCGTTCAATCAATCAATCGTTCAATCAATCAATCGTTCAATTAACCAATTTCATAATAAATTAAAAAAAAATTATATTGTAAGAACAAAACATTTACTAATTTAAAGCAGAACTATTTATGTACTCCAACTAAAAATATTATGATCCGAAAAATTCAACAAATCGTTGATTATTTTAAACACTGAAATATTTAGCTAGAAAGTGCAAGTATGCGAATGTGTGCATTCAACCGACTTGTTTGCCTGAATGCATGAGTGCAAAATTTATATTTTCAACTGGCCATATTGCATGTCTGCACTTGAATGAATGTAATTTCATGCTTATATGTGCTTATCAGCATGTATAATTGAATGCAATGCACTCTAAGCCTCGTAGCCATTAATTAATATTATGAATGTAAACAACATCAATGTTACAATGTTTATTCATTATTACGATCATGCCTACATTTTGCATCTGACACCTACAGGCTTTTATTATTTCAACACTGTAGATTGCACAAGATGAGGATTCGTAGTGAATGTTTAAAGTGTTATCATAAAAAACGAAATGCCAAATTGAGCGATTTTAAAAGTAAGGTGCCTGTGAAGAAAAAAACTCCTGTAATGCCGTTCTCCATGAAGAAATTAAAAATGAATAACATTTTCGGAGTGGGCTCTTTCGATGTTACGCAGGCAAAAAAACGGAAAAAGCAGTAGAAGTAAAATAGTGAGTAATTATAATCTTATGTTATGATGTTAAAGAAAACTGATACATAAACATTTGATATACTGCAAACAGTTTACTGTAAAATGCATGGAATGTTTTCAAAGTTGTATGTGCATTGAACGGCGAACAAAACGACCAAAGAGATACAACGTTCTTCCCATCCAATAGTTGAATACGTTTATTTAACTGGTCGCCACAAATCGTACAAAAAAACGTCCAGGAACATTAAGCCGAACGTCATCAATCTCTTCCCACGACATCATTTTTCTTTGTTAGTGCATCTTTCCGTGAAATTTTCCAGGCATAGTTTTAATTTTGTTGCAGCCATTCGGAAAGGCATGCATTGAAAGTAAATGATGCAGTTTGAATTCTTATGAATTCAATATTAACAAAAGCTACCACAATCCTGCAGTAAAAAGAGGAGAGCCTCAGTTTTAACAAAGAACTGAAAACTTAGATGCACCAATTAGGCGAATCCATTTGAGGATGAGTTTCGTTTCGTCAGCAATGCTTCTTATTTCATAAATGCATAATTTCATTTCAATTGTTGACTGAAACTGTTCAAAAACTGAAGAACATTCTTAAAAACAAAGATCTCAAAGATGAATAATTATATCAGTCAAATGAAGATACGTTCAAGACAGGGACACTAAAGTTTTGTGTAAATAAAAATATTTCTCTCAAACACAAAATAAATAAAATATGTCCTAAAGTTTGAAAGTGTAGGTTATATTGTAAGATAAGTGGACAGTCGTTAGAATGTGCACTCTTGAATGTAAAGGATTGTATAAATCAGCATGTGTGTGCCTGTGCGCGCGTGTATGTGCGCGTACAACGACGGATCTAGAAGGGAATGGATAAGGAAATTAGAGTATCGGAGTTAGAGATTTTTGCCGGAATCGAATATTTTTCATCGGACTCTCTGAAGGGAATGACTCCCGTCAGCTATAAAAAGTAAACAAGATCATGCAAATAAAAACAAATTCAGCTAAACAAAAAAAGAAGGCAGTAATGCGTAAATCTTTTTCTAAAAACATTCCATCTACTATGAAACTCCAAATATAAACAATAAATATTCCCCCAAACTAAAAATTTCAAAGTTCGCTCATCAATGCGTGTGTACACGTTCGGGAATCTGGCTCTTGTGCAACATCATGATGATGCAAATTATAATGATGTTGCTAATCCAATTCACCACAAAGTGCTTGTTTCACTGAACTTCATTCTCAATATAAATATTTTTTATAAAATTTCATTAATAATTTCAAATGGAAAAAATTTCACATGAAGTATTATAAATAATGAAATACAAATGAAAAATAAACATACACTGAGATGATTAAGCCATTCTGCTTGTGCATTCATGTACATTTGCCTCACATCTGAATTCTGTGAAAAGTGAGGTAAATATATCAAAATAACATGTGTGTGTGTACTACATAGTAACATGTATGTGGATTGAAAATAACATGCGTATATACAGTAAATCAAATGTTTTGTCATATTAACATTTAAAATAACAACATATTCTGTTTATGGCATGATCAAATAATGTCTCTGTTATATTATGCAATAAAAAATTGAAATGCATTTGAAACTTTGACGCAACATTAAACAAAGTTTCTCTTGCTTGAAAAATTTGTCAATAAAAAATTTATATTAGAATAAAAATGTTTAAAATTGTTGCATCTAAGGAGAAAACAGCCGGAAGTTCAAAATAAATATAACCTTGTATTGCAGACCACAACAGAGACGCCTAAAAAAAGCAAACATATGAAATGAAAGAAGAAACAAACTTTTAATTGATTGAGCCAGTCACTCTGGGCATAGACTTGTTTGAAATCTGTATTCTGAAAAATTCATCAAATTTTTGCTCAAATATTCGAATTGATATAAAATTATCATCTACATTCTCCGCTTGAACAACTTCATACAATTTTTAAAATTGGCAGCAAAATAAATTTGAATGTATAAAAATGCTGGAAAATATGAAAAATGTATTTATTTAGCATTAGCTCTGGCGTGAATGACGTGGCATCTTACTGGAATGTGTTCACTTTTTGTCATGCATGCATATGTATGCATTGTTAATATCATCACTATTAATCGGAAATTGTTCAAGTCAGTTTTAAAAATAGTACATCTACTTTAGCAAATAAGAAATGAAGCATATTGCCGGAGTATAAAACAACATAATCGATAGTTCGGTATCTCTAAAAAATTGTTCCTGAATGAGTTTGAAATAATAAACAATGAAGAGAATAAGTAATTTTACATTGAGACAAATTTATTCCTATCATGAATAATTTAATTAAACACGATGAACATTTCAAGAAAACTTTAGTAACGTCGTGAAATGTTTGCCATGTAAAAATAAGAAAGAACTTATTAATAAAAATGGACAATTGATCACCGCTAGAAACATCAGGCGTTGCATGAAATATTTTAGACGATAGTTCGCGGATGATAGATCACTTAAGTGATGCATAGCGGATTCAAATGAAATGATTTAAAACCTATAAAGGTGCCTAAAGCTCACAAGATAGTTGCAAATCCATCTGAACCGGGAGTGGACATTTATGTAGCCCACAAGCAGCTCAGGCTATGCGGTTCATTTTTGCACTTATAACAAAGTCATTTTTTCCCAAATTTTAAATATTTTCAATGACAATCCATATATATATATATATATATATATATATATATATATATATATATGTATGTGTGTGTGTGTGTGTGTGTGTGTGTGTGTGTGTGTGTGTGTGTGTGTGTGTGTGTGTGTGTGTGTGTTGGTAATAGACCATAATTTTACAATATTC